AATTGGATAGAATCAGCTTGTCAGATCTTGTTTGAGGGATAAATATTGGCCACGGCACCATGTTCTTCCTTAAAGTAGTTTTATAGGATTTTTTTTGCATTCAGCTGAGGGAGCAGACAGAGTCTCTGTTTGATCATTTTATGTGTACCTCAGACAATGCAGCATCTCTGCAGTACTGCACTGGACCATCAGCCTAAATTTCATGTAGAGTGACTTGAACCCAAAAAAACTTTCTTATGCAGTGGCAAGTGAGTCAGCCACTGCTACAGCTTAACCATCACTCTTGAAAAGAAAAACCGTTCTGGATTAATTAATAATAGAACCACAGAAGATAGGCCGAATGGCAGCTTTCCACGTGCCAGCTCTTGAAAAGACCAACTCAGTAAGTCCTACTCCTCTGCTTTCTCCTCTTTCGCAATCGGAAATGTTTCTCTCAATTTACTCCGCTCAGACCCCCCGTGATTTTGACCACTTCTATCAAGTGTCTGCTCATCTCCTCTGAAAGGAGCACAGCCCCAGCTCTGCCAGTATATATATGAAACTGAAAATTCTCATCCACCAATAATTAGTTTAAATCCTCTCTGCACTCACTCCACTGCCTTCATATTCTTCCTAAAATGTGGTGAACAGAAATTGAGACAACGTTCCAGTTGAGGCCAGGCCAGTGTTTCAAAAAACATTCACTGCAATGTTCTTGCTTTTGTAACATAAGCTACAGTTTACAAAACCTTGGATCCTAAACCCCCAGCTCAGTTCCTTGGCTCCTGCCTTCCCTCCTTTTGCTGAGGAAAGGGTAGGATTCAATTTCTTTGTTCTTCCTACCAAAATATATCACTTCACGCATCTCGGTAATAAACTCAAGAGCATAATTTTAAAAGGGAAAGATTTAAAAGGTACCTGGGGGGCAACATTTTCCACACAGGTGGTGGTTCGTATGTGGAATAAATTGCCAGGAGTAGTGTTGGTGGGAGATACAGTTACAAATTTAAAAGACATTTGGACAGATACATGAATAAGAAAGGTTGAGAGATATGGGCCAAACGCAGGCAAATGAGACTAGTTTAGTTTAGGAAGCCTGGTCAGCATATACGAGTTGGACGGAAGGGTCTGTTTTGGTGCTCTGTGACTCTATAGCTTAATCTGCGATGTGCCTGCTCATTCGCCAGCAGTAAGAGAGGAAAATTAGCTCAGTTGGCTGAACGGCTGGTTGGTGATGCAGAGTAAAACCGACAGTGTTGGTCTAATGAGAGAGCAGCCCTACAGTCAGGTAGGTCAATGGAGACCTTTTACATTCCACCAGTCTGCCTACATCCATCTTCATGATACCCATCACTATTCTCCTCACATTTCAAGAGTCTTCCAAGTTTTGTGTCTTCAGCACTTTTGCTATCATTCCCTGTACAAGGCTAGGTCATTAACATAGTTTATGAAAAGTAGCAATTCAAGTAACAAGTCCTAGAGAACACCATTTTATATGTCACCCTCTTATCCACTAAACTATCATCTATTGCAGTACCACTCTGTTTCCCATCATCTAGCCAATGGAATATCCATGCTGCCAATCCCCTGTTCAATCCATGGACTGCAACTTTGTTGGCACATCCATTTCATGGTAATTTTACATGGCACACCATCGTATGCTTTTTGGAAGTTCAGGTAAAATCAATATTTTAAAATTTTATATTTAGTAGTAGGAGTTTATAATTTAACAATTAAAAATTATTTTGAATATTTAAACTACATCAAACTCATGAGAAACTATTTGGGGAGACACAAACGAGCGTCTCTTTGGAGTTGACAAGAGAACAAAACTTGACTGACCCCTTCTGTTCCAAACTGATATTACATTCACTCAGTTGTGTTGAAAGATTATTTTAGCACTTTCGTTACACTGCTCGGAAACAGTCATTCAACACAGATTCAGACCCTTCAGTCCAACTGATCCATGCTGATCAAGTTTCCCAAACTAAACTAGTCCCATTTGCCTGAGTTAGGCCCAAACCCCTGTAAACCTTTCCTATTCATGTACCTGTCCAAATGTCCTTTTAGATGTCGTAACTGTACCTGCATCTACCACTTCCTCAGGCAGTTCATTCCACATACAAACCATCCTGTGTGAAAATGTTTCTGCTCAGGTCCCTTTTAAATCTTTTCCCTCTCAACCTAAACCTATGTCCCCTAGTTGTGAACTCCCCTGCCCTGGGGAAAAGATCTTTGCTATTCACCTTATCTATGCCTCTCACGATTTTAAAAAAACTCTATAAGGTCACGCCTCAACCTCCTACACTCCAGTGAAAAATGTCCCAGACTATCCAGCCTCTCCTCAGAACACAAACCTTCCATTCCCTGGTCAAGACTGCTGATTCATTGTACAGAGCTGCTGCTCAACTTTGCCAATGTTGACAACTCTGTTAAGTTACACCTAAACAAACATTCTACTCTTTGTGAATTTCATGCTGGTTATGTTAGCGCTGTTGATTGAAACACTTCCACAATATGAGCGTCTAACACTACTGGATAACTAAAATAAATTGCTGGAGAAATTCAGCAGGTCGGGTAGCATCTGTGGAGAGAAAACAGAGTTAACATTGTGAATCCAGTGAACCTGATTCAGAGCATTCTGAAGGGTCACCAAATTTGAACCAATAACTCTGCTTTCTTTCCACAGATGCTGCCCAACCTGCTGAGTTTCTTTAGCAATTACTGTTTTTGTTTCGGATTTTCAGCATCTGCAGTTCCTTGCCTTACTTCTGGACATCTGTCGGGTCCTCATTCAAAGTAGCCCAAGTATTTTCTTCAATCTTGTCAGAGAAGGCGCCATTTCCCACATCAAACATCATAATCTCAGAACGAGATCGACAATTCAGCACCTACGTTTTGTTCTTTTATAAAAGCTTCCACACAAACAGAAACACGGTATTCGAGAAGTATGATTAGGAGTATCAAGAAACAAACATAAACATTTAACATTGTAAAGTAAACGCAGGATAAAACTGAGCAGAGCAGGGAAGTCCCTAGCTGCAGAAGCTTTGAAATTGTGTCGCAGAAGGTTAATAACATGTTTCTGATTAAATTCTTTTGCTTGCTTTTTCAAAGAACCTGTTCAAGCCGTTCAAAAAGGAAAGCAAAATATCAAGGGCACTGAAAAATAGAAATAAAATTGAAAGTGCTGGAAACACTCATCTGCAGAAGGTGCTATCAGATTCTGCTGAGATGTTCGACTCAATCCTGACAGACTGAGTGTTGTATACGTGGACTGAATGCCTGAAATGATCTGGTATGGATTGGGATACCACTGCTCTAATCTAACTGAAAGAGTCAGAGTGAGTACACGATATGAAGCTTATGTAAATTTACAGACTACGTGAACATGATCTACAGTATCATTAGCCTCAGGTCTGTCGTCCACAAACTCCTCCTTTATTCTGACTGAAGCCCCATGACATTAAGACCATACAAAATAAGAACAGGAGTAGGCCATTCAGCCCCTCGAGCCTGCTCTGCCATTCAATAGGATCACTGCTGACACAATATTCTTCATATCCACTTCCCACATCATGGCTTGGTATGGCAACTGCTCCGCCCAGGACCATAAGAAACTACAAACCATCATGCAAGCCAACCTTCCACCCACTGACTCCATCTATACTACTTGCTGCCTTGGGAAGGCAGCCAACATAATCAAAGACCGATCTCACCCCAGTTATAATCTCTTCTATTGGGCAGAAAATACAAAAGCTTCCACATGTGTACGAACAGATTGAAGAACAGCATTTTCCCCACTGTTAATAGACTTTAAATTTAAATGTTGATCTCGCTCCTTGTGTGCCTTCTCTGCAGCCGTAACATTGCATTCCTCACTCTGTTCTAATACCCTAATGCACTTTGTGTGTTACGATCTGCCTGTACTGCATGCAAAACAAAAAACTTTTCATTGTACCTGGGTACATGTGACAAGAATAAATCAAATCAAATTCTTGCATCTTTCCCATAACTCTTAATTCCCTGACATTTTCACAGTGGCTGTTAATTTCTGCACTCAGTGAAGCATTAACCCCTTTGGACTCTCATACACAACATATCCATCTACCTTGGATTCCAGCATCTGCAGTTTTTTTTGTCTCATATCCAGAACTTTGTTGTTCAGAAGAAGCATGGTTAATATAAAGAGAAATTTCTACTAAAACCGCACACAATCTCAAAAAGAAGAAATGTTATAGTTATATTACAGAACTACCTATTACAATCTGCTAGTACTATGGAATGCACCTCATTTAGATTGCAGCATTTATGGCATTAAGCACCAGTGACATTGAAGAAACAATTAAATGATTCACTTATTTGTCCACACATTTAGTTGAACCTGGCAAAGATGTTCCTCAGACAACCGAGAAAGCAGTACAAGTCGGCTGTGGGTACGTGGATAGCACACTTGCACAGGGTCAGAAGGTTGTTGGTTCAGATCGCACTTCAGAAACACGTGCCCCAAAATTGAGGCTGACATTCCCATGCAAAGTGAGGGAGTACTGCACCGGCTTTTGCATGGAGGTGAGAGAGGGGAGGGGGGAGGGGGGAGGGATTAGAGGTCAAAAAAGCAAAGTTCAATCTTCCTACGAACATCAACTGGATGATAAAAGACCCTGTTGCAGTATTCAAAAGGGAGAAGACAAGCAGTGACTAACTGCCTTACATTAAATGATTATTTATGTCATTCTCATACAACCTGTTCAATATAAAATGGCTGCCTTGTTTGCCTACATGATAACTACACCTTCATTTCAAAGTGATGCACTGCATGTGAAACAACGCGGAATTCCCCAAGATATATTACAAGGCCAAAGGCTTTTTCTTCCCTCTCCCTCACGGAGGAAATGGTTCAAGTTATTGGTGACACGAAATGTACTGATCAGCAAAACATTAAGGAAGGAACTTGAAGGACTGGCAACTCTGGAGAGCAAATTAAGCCATTGCGGTTTCCCAACACAAAATGGATGCCTTACCTGCCATCTTGTAGTCCCATAACAATAATTGGGCTGTCTCCTGGTTTCTCCATCGGACAACCAGTGTCATCTTCCTCTCGGGCCGTTACAGGAATATACTCCATGCACAAGACCCAGGAGCTAACCTGGAAGGACTTGACATGCTTGGGAGCAGATCTGTTCAAGGAGAAGAGATCGACCTGCCCCAGCCTCTGTTCTCGCCCACTGCCAATCTGTGAAAGGACACAAAGAAGGAAAAGGAACAATGTTAAGTTTTGCTCTGCTGCCTAAAAAGGGACCGTGACTTGTATCATTAACAGATTCTTGCTAGTGTCAGGATGACTTACCCAAAGGTATCCCTGTGCAAGACAGGTACTGGCAATGGAGATCCCAAGTAAGGATGATTGCACTGGAGTGTGAAGAGCTGTTTCCGGCTAGATAGAGAGGAAGGCATTTAAGTGGTTAATCAATGCACACATTCTTCTTTTACCTGTCGTATACCATCTACTGAACAGAATAATCCTCATTCTCCAACTGAGGATGTCCATACAATGTGGAAGCAACAGCCACTTCCCATTTGTATTTTCTACTATTCACATCAACACAATTATACAAAAAGGACTGCGGATGCCAAAAATCAGAAATTGCTGGAGAAACTCAGGTCTGGCAGCATTGATGGACAGAAAGCAGACTTGACATTTCGGGTCCACTACCCTTTTTCAGGACAAAATTACCCAAGTCATAATCAGCATCTGCCTTGGCGATCTCAATGTTGTTTCTTGCACTTGCTGTCTTTTCACTTTGCATACGTCTGTGATGGTCAGGGCAAAGATCCTCTAAACTGTCAAAAGCCTAGGAAACCGTTTTATACACACTTGCTGCTCCCCAGCTCCTTGGCTACCAAAACTAAATTCTGTTGTTTAGTCCTGTTGCACTCACTTTCTATGGTATAAAAACTTTGAATAAAGGAGTTGTATTCATCAATTACTGTCTTTCTCCAATTGTCATGGTAAAACCACAGTACCCAGTCCCAGATCTGCGCAGGAAGACTACTCAATGTATCATCACTGATAAACACAGCACAGTCTGGGGCCATTAAAATCACTACTACTCAATTTAACTCCGCTTAACACCAAACCTTTTTGTTGATGTCAGCACATACTCTAGGTTTCTCAAATTAGAAAATAAAACACCAAGAGCTCTGTGAATTTTCATTAGGTTTACCCAAAACAGACAGAACAAATTGCTCAGTCTGAAAATATTTAACTGTTCTCCTAATCAATTGCTACACTTCAGGCAGAGTTACAAACCAGTACTGCTGCTGGGGAAGCATGGTAGCTCAGCGCCTAGCACCGCTGCCTCACAGCTCCAAGGACCCAGATTCAATCCTACCCCCAGGCACTGTCTGTGTGGAATTTGCAAGCTCTCCCAGAGTCTGGACAGGTTTTTCTCCAGGTGCTCCAGTTTCCTGCTACAGCCCAAAAGATGTGTAGGTTAGGTGGATTGGCTGTGTCAAATTACCCTGTAATGTCCAGGGATGTGGGTTAACCATGCGAAATATGCAGGGTTACAGGAATGGAGTGAGTCACTCAGAGGGTTGGTGTGAACTTGATGGGCAAAATGGTCTGCTTCCACATTGCTGGGATTCAATGTTACTTAAAACCTTCACAAGAGTTGTGAATCTTGATAGCAGGAGAAAAGTGGCCAACTTTGGGAAGGTGTAGTTACTGCCCTGTTTAACTGTCCTTCACCAGGAGAAAGATATAAGCTCCTCAACACTGCAAGACAACATGCTTTAGCCATGATAACCAGCAGGCGGTGCTATCATTGGCCTCCAGATACCTGGTTCCAAGAAGATGATGTCAAGCCAATTTCTTCTTCTTAGTCTGAACTCATGCACTTACATGCCAAATACAGAAGATTTCACATTGTAACCTGGACAACTACAGTTACTTGTCACGTCAAATGCTGCAACATTAGACTGTATACATTAATCATTTTCATAATCTGCTGGCAACTACTACTCCATTCAGTCTCTAGTGATCCAGAGATCATGCCGAAGGAAATCTACGTCAAGTAAATATTTAGATAGAAAAGTTTATAAAATCAGAAGGGACATGGATCAGGCGAATAGCCATGGTCTTTTTCCCAGGGTAGGGCATAAGTGAGAGGGGAAAGATTTAAAAGGAACCCAAGCAGCAACTTTTTCCACACAGAGTGTGGTACATGTATGGAATGAGCTGCCAGGTGAAGTGGTGGAGGCTGGTACAATTACAACATTTAAAAGGCATCGGGATGGGTACATGAATAGGAAGGGTTTAAGAGGGAGATGGGCTAAATGCTGGCAAATGGGGTTTGATTTATTTAGGATATCTGGTCGGCATGGACCAAAGAGTCTGCTTCCGTGCTGTACATCTCTATGACTTATTGCGGTATTCAATCAAATCAGCTTCTCTTCTCCATTTTTAGGTTGCCAATGGGGGACACTGCATTGGCAATATTTACCGATGGGACTGAAAGACTGAATTGAAGTGGCTAATCCAGGAGTTGTCATTAAAATAAAACTAACATACCAACTCCCAGATTTTGCAGGCAGACTGCTCAAAGTAACATTGCTGATAAACTGTGCAGTAGGTGGCAATTTGAACATTCTTCTGGAGTTGGGCTCCTTTGAAACAAACTGGTGAAGTGGCTGCCATATTCAATGGGTACTCCTTTCAGTTCCACCCAAAAATACAAAATGCAATGTTAGTAGCGATTGCCTCTGCTACAAAGCAGGAGCTGGAACAGAGACACTAGGAATCCGGAATCTACTGGCAACCAAACGATTGAGATGCATTACATCCTTATACAAACATATAAGCGTGTTTGATTGTCATCAGCTTCCCTTACATTTGATTAAAATGCTCAGAAAGTAAATGCTGTATAATTGTCGACAGATGGTTGAAATTTTCACATTTAAAATAAAAGAGCGAGGGACATAGGTAGAAGTCATTCATGCAAATTACTATTATTTCTGCTGGAATATGATTAAAAGCTGTAATTATTTGTTTCTGCCAGTCACTACACAAAGGCCAGACAGCTGCAGTTTGCTTCTATGTTATCCTCATAATTATAAAAAACCTTTATATATCCAACTGCCAGTCACACTCCATTGAGAGGACTAGGACCAATGAGTTCCGTGGTCTCCAAACACTCTTTGTAACAACCAACTAATTGACTGATTCACACATTCCGAAGGGTCATACTGGATTTAAAATTTGAAACATAGAAAATAGGAGGAGTGGGACATTCAGTGCTTTGAACCTGCTCCACGGCCATGATGATCATGGCTGATCATTTAACTCAATAGCCTGTTCCTGATTTTCTACCATATCCTTTGATCCCTTTAGCCCCAAGCCCTGTATCGAAAGCCTTCTTGAAATCTTAGTGTTTTGAACTGCTTTCTGTGGTAGTGAATTCCACATAATTACCACTAACTTGGTTAACTCTGTTCCTCTCTCCAAAGCTATTCTCAGACCTGCAGAGTTTCTCCAGCACTTTCTGTTCTGATTTCACATCTCCAGCATCTGCAGTATTTTGCTGGGATACACACGCGAGCTTGAACTCTGTCACAATTTGGAGGCTGCAAGTGTATCATCCAGTGTCGCCCTGAACTTAAAACTGAAAAGGTTAGAGAACTGAGCCTGGGTCTGGGACTGTGCTGAGTTGGCTGAGCTCAAACAAAGTACCAACTGGAATCCTTTCATAAACCTCTATTTCCCAAACTCAAGAAAGTCAACCTAAGCTCATAGTCCTTTTGTTCATTTCAGTGACTCCTGTGAAATCTCAGGACTTGTCCACATCTTCCTTCTTAAATACAACTACAGCCCTGAAAAAAAAAAGCAAGTGTAGATCATCCTTTCCATCAAATGTCAGGTAGTTAAAATTTGCAAAACAGGATTTCATACCAGGAGGTAATGGCCTAGTGCTATTATCACTGGACTGTTAATCCAGAGACCCAGACAACGTTCTGGGGACCTGGGTTTGAATCCCACCAGAGATCGGACGGTGGAATTTAAATTCAATAAGTATCTGGAATTAAAGAGTCTAATGACGATCATGAATCCATTGTCAATTGTGTGAAAAACCCATCTCGTTCACTAATGTCCTTTAGGAAAGGAAACTGCCATCCTAACCTGATCGAGGCCAATGTGGTTGACTCCTAACTGCCCAGAGGGGCAATGAATGCTGGCCTAGCCAGTTACACCCATATCCCGTGAATGAATAAAGAAAAATAAAACTTCACACAGAAACAAATCTTTGTGAAATAAATAGATCAAATTGCTCAGATCAATTTACAGAGAGCACATAATCATGTAAAAGCATACTGGGAGAAAAGAACAATCTCTAATATTTTCTTTCACATCCCATTTGAGTCTCTATCTCTCCATCTGTCTACATGGCTGCACTAACCATCAATACTCAACAAATGGTGATGATCTAACTTCTGCTTTGTACTGATGCATTATTTCTTGGCTTTGTAAATCCCCAAGCTTTTCAAGCATCATTATTTCATGTTACAGATTCAGCATAAACAAGGTACCTACACCCAAACCAAAGTGCACAGAAATACCTCAAATATTTAACAGAGATAGTAGGAACTGCCGATGCTGGAGAATCTGAGATAACAAGGTGTAGAGCTGGAAGAACACAGCAGGCCAAGCAGCATCAGAGGTGCAGGAAAGCTGACGTTTCGGGCCTAGACCCTTCTTCAGAAATGGGGGAGGGGAAGGGGATTCTGAAATAAATAGGGAGAGAGGGGGAGGTGGATAGAAGATGGATAAAGGAGAAGATAGGTGGAGAGCAGACAGGCAGGTCAAAGAGGCGGGGTTGGAGCCAGTAAAGGTGAATGTAGGTGGGGAGTTAGGGAGGGGATAGGTCGGTCCAGGGAGGACAGACAGGTCAAGGAGGCGGGATGAGGTTAGTGGGTAGGAGATGGGGGTGGGGCTTGAGGTGGGAGGAATGGTTAGGGAGGCAGGGACGAGCTGGGCTGGTTTTGGGATGCGGTCGGGGGTGGGGAGATTTTGAAGCTTGTGAAGTCCACATTGATACCCTTGGGCTGCAGGGTTCCCAAGTGGAATATGAGGTGCTGTTCCTGCAACCTTCGGGTGGCATCATTGTGACACTGCAGGAGACCCAGGATGGACATGTCGTCCAAGGATTGGGAGTGGGAGGGGGAGTTGAAATGGTTCGCGACTGGGAGGTGTAGTTGTTTGTTGCAAACCGAGCGTAGGTGTTCCGCAAGCCTCCGCTTGGTTTCCCCGATGTAGAGGAGGCAACAACGGGAACAGCGGATACAGTATACCACATTAGCAGATGTGCAGGTGAACATCTGTTTGATGTAGAAGATCTTCTTGGGGCCTGGGATGGGGGTGAGGGGGGAGGTGTAGGGGCAGGTGTAGCACTTCCTGTCATTGAAGGGAAAAGTGCCGGGTGTGGTGGGGCTGGAGGGGAGTGTGGACCGGACAAGGGAGTCACGGAGATAGCGGTCCCTCTGGAAGGCAGATAAGGGTGGGGAGGGAAAGATGTCTTTGTTAGTGGGGTCAGATTGCAGATGTCCTCGTTTTTCAAGGACTGCAACTTCCCCTCCACAGTGGTCGAAAATGCCCTCGACCGTGTCTCTCACATTTCCCGCAACTCATCCCTCACACCCCCTACCCGCAATAACAACCAAAACAGAATCCCCCTCATCCTCAAGTACCACCCCACTAACCTCTGAATCCAATGCATCATCCTCCAACACTGCTGCCATCTGCAATCCGACCCCACTACCAAAGACATTTTTCCCTCCCCACCCTTATCTGCTTTCCGGAGGGACCACTCTCTCCGGGACTCCCTTGTTCGCTCCATACTCCCCACCAGCCCCACCACACCCGGCACTTTTCCCTGCAACCGCTAGAAGTGCTACACCTGCCCCTACACCTCCCCCCTCACCCCCATCCCAGGCCCTAAGAAGACCTCCCACATCAAACAGATGTTCACCTACACATCTGTTAATGTGGTATACTGTATCCGCTGTACCCGTTGTTGCCTCCTCTACATCAGGGAAACCAAGCGGAGGCTTGCGGAACACCTACGCTCGGTTTGCAACAAACAACTACACCTCCCAGTCGCGAACCATTTCAACTCCCCCTCCCACTCCCAATCCTTGGACGACATGTCCATCCTGGGTCTCCTGCATTGTCACAATGATGCCACCCGAAGGTTGCAGGAACAGCACCTCATATTCCACTTGGGAACCCTGCAGCCCAAGGGTATCAAAGTGGACTTCACAAGCTTCAAAATCTCCCCTCCCCCGACCGCATCCCAAAACCAGTCCAGCTTGTCCCCGCCTCCCTAACCATTCTCCCACCTCAAGCCCCATCCCCATCTCCTACCCACTAACCTCATCCCGCCTCCTTGACCTGTCTGTCCTCCCTGGACTGACCTATCCCCTCCCTAACTCCCCACCTACATTCACCTTTACTGACTCCAACCCTGCCTTTTTGACCTATCTGTCTCCTCTCCACCTATCTTCTCCTTTATCCATCTTCTATCCGCCTCCCCCTCTCTCCCTATTTATTTCAGAATCCCCTTCCCCATTTCTGAAGAAAGGTCTCGACCAGAAACGTCAGCTTTCCTGCTCCTCTGATGCTGCTTGGCCTGCTGTGTTCATCCAGCTCTACACCTTGTTATCTCAAATATTTAACAACTGAGTTATGGGCCATGCTTAAATAAACTGGACTAATGGAAAATCGAAACAGGAATTCTGCATCCATGGGTACAAAGGTGGGAAAGAAAAGCAAATGCTGCCCAACAGATAAATAAAAGCAGAACACTGTAATTGCACAAAAACAGTGTTAACTTCTGTAAAGAGAAAAGGTGAAAGTCTTGGGTCAATAGCCTTCATCACAAGAGCAACTACAGCATGGACATCGGTTTCTACTCAGTCAGCAAACGTGAAGCTAAATTCTTTCTACCTCCCATATCGATCTAACATTCATAAAGTGAAAGCAGCCATATTGCATGGGGGAGAGAAGTGAAGAGGGAGATTGCTATTTCCTAATTGCTAAGAGTTTTGAGACTTTCCGTAAGGCAAACCATCTTCCCATCTCTTCACATGGAATATTTCACTCTATTAAAGGTAAAGGCATCAAGGGGTACGAAGAGAAAGCAGGAATACAGCAGAGATAGAGAATCAGCCACTATCACATTGAAAGGTGGAGCAGGCTCAGAAGGGATGAATAGCCTACTCCTGCTCCCAGTTTCTGTTTGTATTGATAGATGATATCGAAACATCAAGCTGTTGTTGTTAGTTGACATAGGTTGGAGTACTGAGCAATGTACACTTACTAAATTTCAAAAATCTTGACCAAGAGGGTCAGTCTTTGGTGTTAGTTCACAATGTGTCATCTGACCTTTGGATAGTTCCTACACAAAGTGGACACACTATAGCACAATGAGTCAATGAATCATGAAATGCTCTGAACCCATGGTCAACGGGCTAAAGAGCCCACAACTATTGTAACCATGGTTTCTGCTCCCAATTGTGAGCAGCACTAAAAGACTGAATCTGGGATTTTCCTTCAGTGACATTAAAATGCAGCACTGTGGGAACGCTTTGGTGCCAAAGATGTTGATGTCCTGTTGCTCAATCATTCAGCAAGTCTAAATGGCCAGGAAGCCAGTAGCCATCTCTTGGATACAATTCTATTACAAGTGAGCAGACTGCGTCCACTTTACTCATTTGTATCAAGCAATAAGCCCTGTTGACAGCTACACAGCAGGCACTCGTGGTACTATCTTATTTCTCTCTCCCCCATCCCTCAAAACTCTCTCTTCACTGACAACTTCAGCTCTGTTCACAAGCTGTCAGATTTGCCACCCCAGTTAGTCTGCTAACCTGCCCAGTAGCTGAGCTGGGTGTCCCTTTCAATACCCAGTCAAATAAGGTCTGCTAAACCCAACAGGTAGACTTGGAGTTATTACCCAGTCCATCTTTCAAATGGGACCTCAATCCAAAATCCCACTCCACCATTCATATGGAGCAACTCTGCATGGGCTATGTTTGGAGTCACTGAAAGATGTACAGCAGATGTTGAGTGATTGAAAAGATCTGCTAATGCTGACAGACCAGCAATCTCCTACAAAGCAGAAACCTGTGTAATATCGTGAAGAGAGGAAAGACGATTAGATATGAATGAGATGTGGATGCTGACACACCTATATGAAGCAACCTGAAAAAGGGCACAATTATGAGCAAATACTTCAGGGAGTCAGTGCAAATTATGGAAACGTCCAAAACTATAACTAAGAAATGACCATTGTTGTGGAGAAAGCAGGGAAATGGGGCAGGGCAGGTGATGGAGATTAGGTTGTCAGGAAGAGGAAAAAGGCTGCCAGATGGTAGGATATGGTGGTGAGAAATTTGGATGTAATGTGTTTGAAAGAGGAATGAGTGATGGACAGGAGATTAGGTGGAATGGCAGAAACGGAGGGAAAAAGAAAGTCTACAAACCGATGGTTCAGATGACCATGTATAATCCACATGATTATTCAATGGCGAGCCAGGAATTCTTCTGGCATCTTCATCAGGTTTCCTTCTTCAATCAAAACCAGCAAAAACAGATCAACTGCTCATCAATCTTAATCGCAAGATCTTATCTACTAATTGGCAGCCACGACCCACATAGCAACAATGTAATTTTGAACACGCGTCCATTTCATTTTACCGACAGCCAGCTTGTCTCTACCGTACACTAATGCATAAGCAATCATGAATAAAAAGTTTTAATGTCTCACTAAGTTTTCAGCCAGATGCTTCATCCAATACAATCTGCTTCCAGCTTCCAATTAACATTTAGATAACATTGGATTTCAGACAACAATTCATAGTTTCAGTGTCATGCCGAGATAATTAGGTATACTCCACAAAGAACCATTGGCATCTCTCGAAGACACACGAACAACTGGTCACAGACAGTTTGACAGCCGCAACTCCAAATGTGTGGGACAAAGCAAGAAGGTGGACACAATGGGCCAAAGGGCCTCCTTTTGTGACTCAACAGGAACTGAACCCGTGTCATTGCCGTCAGTGTTGCATCATATGCTAGCCATCTAAGCCAAACCACCATACTTTCCCCTCAAATCCATAAATCTAAAAATTGGAGTCAAAATAGTAAAGAGCGATTGTCCAAATAAAATAGTGCCTGGGATAGGGAAATCAAAAATATTGCTACCACTTAGTCTGTTCCCCACCACATGAGAAATAATCAGATTAACTGTCAACAAAAACTGGACATTTATTTATGGGATAATTGGCAGCCAACATTCACTACATTTTCTTCTTTTATATCCTGGATTAATATTCTCGAGTTGCTAAATGCACCATAAAGTAGATTGCAGTGGAATGGTGTGCAAATTGACCATTATTTCCACATCTCTAACTTAAACGAATTGTAAATTGAAAGTGTAGCATGCTAAAACACAGCTTAACTTGTGAAAATAACTTGGAAGTACAAATTCAATTATTTCCCCTGTATTTGAAGTAAAGTTGCTGACCATTTGTTTAGATTTTGGATAATGAAAAGTCTAGATACAGTGTTTGCTTAGGTAAAAGATTCAGATACAATTTAAACATTGGCAAGGCAGGAGCAAGAAGCTGGAGATAGGCCTTTGAAGTCGGCAATACAAATTGTTTCAAGCTGTCTTGGGATAAAAGGTACGGCACAAAAACAATAAGGCAGCAAGGCACATCTGATCTGTGGGAAAACAACTGTGGTTTAAATGGCTGAATGGCTTTTCCCCTGCACTTGAAAATCCAACCTTTCAACTTTAATTTGCACCAAGGGAATGTACTACAAATGACCACTGGAATTGGCTCAAGTAAAAACTTTGGTGTATGGAGCCCAGATCTTGAATAGGGAATATTATAATTCTCAAAAACATAATCCTAAGATTATGTAAAGCTGCGTCCGTTGTGGTTCAGAAGCGGCACTCATTGCAACAGTGAGTCAACTTCAAAAAGTACTTCAGTAATTGCAAAGCACTTTGGAATATCCTGAGGTTGTGAAAAGCATCATTATAAATGCAAGTTCTTTCTATCAAAGGCCACAACATCAAAGCCAGGATTAAAATGCGAATCGCTGATCAAACATGCAAGAAACGCCGATTTGTTTTTACAAAAAGGCAACAGATACCTTTTTGCTTTATCTCGAGCTCACCTTCAGGTCCTGACATTTTGAGCTGTACATGGGCATATGACAGGCCAGCAAAGGGCAGCAAAGTGGAGCCTTTGTTTTTCCGTCATCCTCAATACAGAGCCAGCCAGGCTGGTTATCTTTAGCTGCGGATGAGAGAGAATGTGAGAGAGAGAGAGAGAGAGAGAGAGCACAAGAGAAATCAGGCATATACCAAGACAGCTTAAAAAGAAACAGACTTTAAGCCCACTACAGAATAGTTTAAGCACTGAATTCCCGACACTAATTCTCAATTCAGTTATGGGCTTCAACTCACTCAAAATATGGTCTAGTGATTTTTTTAAAATGGGATTGTTCAGCTTTAATTCTCTGCCACTGCTCCTGACATGACCCATTTGCTTCAAGGAACCGTGGAACGGCTTCTGATCATCCTGGGATACCTTGTTCAGGAGCTCATTCATCATAAGCCTTAACCCTATTATAACGTTTCTCATGCCCATGGGTCTTTCAGGGTAGAGTTCCAACTAACCACCACCTAATGGGCACAGTGGCACATTGTGATTCCAGTTGTGACATCCCTACAGCCACCCTGACTGACAAGGAGTGGCCAAATCCAGCTGCCTCTCTGAGTTGGCAGGCTTCAGTGTTACACTGGGTGATGCATATACCACAGCTTTCAGGAGAACTGATCTTTTGAATGCTAAATAGGCGGCCCTGTTGAAGCCACTGATTGAAGAGGAAAGTTGCACTGAACAGCAATCACATAATTCCCACTCAGCCATTGTTGGCCACCCTTTTGATCTAAAACAATGGACAAGGGACGATGTGGCATCCCACGCTGGCTGAAAAGCTATTATCATCCATTCAATACAATGAAAGGCTGGGTATAACTCTGCTAATGTTCTATAAATTACTGGCGTCTTTCAATTAAGTGTGCTCAACATGAAGAGACTCCTACACACCTTAATAGTGCGGCTAATTAATCTCAATAACAAGCTGACAGATCAAATTTATGAAGTGAATCCTGTCAGATGTGGCAATTTTTTGGTATCAATGCACACAATGCTCAGCAGGAAGTGTCCATTGTGGCAGGTTGATTCAGGACATGCTATAATTATTCAAACAAGGTATTGTGAAAGTGGGTTGGTGGGGAGGTGGGACGAGATAAACACCCTGGGATCACTTCAGTGTTAGTGGACAATGAATGGGAGTTGTTTTATTTGTCTCCTGCTCACCTTCCACAGAAAATGAAACCATTTCTGTTTAGGAGTTCTCCACTTGCTTCAGCACAAGCTCCACGACATGGCTAAGGTCACCACACTTTTATGTTGCATTCTGCCGGCAATTTATTGAACGCAAACAAAGTTCTGATTTTCTCAAGTTACTGTTAGCCTTTATTTCTACAAGCACTACTACGGTCACCAAATAATCTCTCCTTTTCTAGCAAAGCACAATTGCAAATCCAGATACAGTTCCACACCCAATCTTGCACCACTGAGGTTCACACTTGTTAACTACCAATAATCCAAGGACTCCATGACGTACTAGAGTTCATACAATTTGTGCCTAACTGGTCATCTTTCAAAGTTTCAATGGATGACCAAACCAAAACTAAGATGCATTTAACCTACGGCAAAAGTTTCCACCCACTCACTACAACATTGGTGTGGGCGGTTGACTGTAAAGTTGCAAAGTTCAGAATTATTCTGTGCTCCCACCTGTGGGAAATGCTCATAATTGCAGGCCCAGCAACAAGGAGATGAATCCACATCCAACAGTGTGAGAAGACAGGCCTGCGGAAATCTGAAACATACTAGGAGAATGCTGGAGAAACTCAGGCGGGCTGGCAGTATCAAAGGAGAGAGAAACAGAGTTAACCTGAAGGTTCCTGAAGGAGAGTCATACTGGACTCAAAAAGTTAACCAGTTCTCTCTCCACAGATGCTGCCAGGCCTGCGGAATGTAACCTATACATATTGATTTGAAAAAGTAAGGGGTGGGTAAATGTTACACTTTAAGCTGTAGATTCTGGCTCCTCTAGACCATTACCTACTTAGTGCAACTTTAGCCATATGCAGCCGATTCACCCAGGAAATCTTACTGCGAGGGTTCGGCGTATTGAATACCACCATAAAGCTGACCGGTCTTCCAGACCTTTAGGAAAGGATTAAAGAGGGAGAGAGAAAAATATAATCAGTTTAGTTTACTGGTCAGCAGAAATCTTCAACTGCTCTCAAAAAGCAAAGCATAAGATTTTTGTTGTTATTAGGTTGTTTCCAGAGAAGCCCCTCAGAGAATAAGCAGCTGTAAATTGTAGATTAAAAGCTTAAGCTTCCTCAACCTCCATAAAGACGTGTGGAAACAGGTTTAGAAAATGCATCTTTTAGAAGAAATCCCGCTAAATCAGTTATTAAATAAAAGACACTTAGTACCCAATGCAGCTGAGATACATTTTTATTAAGAAATGTCAACCCACCACATTTTTAAAAAAGATTGTGTCATTTAAAACATATAGGGTTTTCAAAATATCACTGTGAAAGAGCCTGTCGCAAATCCTTGGCTGGAAATATATAATCAGATTTGTGTGGCGCTGACGCAGTCTGTTATGGACACACTGCTAAGCAAGATGCTGAACTTGTACAAAATTAGACAAACACAGCTCATCCTACTGTGATGCATTCAGAACCTCCTCTTTTGCTTTTCGTAATTTTCTCCCCTCGTTACTTGTCATGGAGTCATACAGCACGGAAACAGACCCTTTCGTCTAGTCAGTCCACGCCAACCATGATCTCAAGCTAAACAAATCCCACCTGCCTGCGCTTGGCCCTACCCCTCCAAACATTTCTAATTCATGTACTTACCTAAATATCTTTTAAACATTGTAACCATACCCGCATCAACTACATTCTCTAGAAGTTCATTCACACGTGAACCAGGTGTGTTAAAAAAAAAAAAATCTCTTTCTCCACTCACCTTAATATACCCCCATTCTTGAAATCTCCCACCCTAGGGAAACCATACTTGTTATTCACCTCATCTATACTCCTCATGATTTTATAAGCCTCTGTAAGGTCACCTCTCAACCTCCTATGATCCACATGAAAAAATTTCCAGCCTGTCCAGCCTCTCCTGAGAATTCAAACCCACCATTCCCAGCCACATTCTGGTAAACCTCTTCTGAACCCTCTCCAGTTTAATAATATCTTTCCTATAACAGGGAGACCAGAACCAGACACAGTACTCCTCAACATAACGTCCCAACTCCTATACTCCAAGGTCTGAGCAACGAAGGCAAGTGTGATAAATGCCTTCTTAACCACCCTATCTACATGTGATGCAAAGTTCAAAGACTTATGTACCTGAACCCCTAGGTCTTTCTGTTCTACAACATAACCCAAACCTCCCTTTTAGTTGTATACGTCTTGCCTTTGTTTGTTTTGGAGGTATCGATTGTCCCCAAGAAAACCGAAAACCTCTGGAGAGCTTACTATAGCAGCCAAATAGTGTGTGTAACCTTAAAATACACGGTATTAGGGCATGGGAAGGCAATGGCTTTGTGGTAATATCGTTAGACTGCTAATCCAGAGACCCAGGTTCAAATCCCACCATGGAAGATGGTGTAATTTGACTTCAATAAAATTTGGAATTAAGATTCTAATGATGACCTTGAATCCATTGTCAATTGTTGGAAAAGCTCATTTGCTTCACTAATGTCCTTCAGGGAAGGAAAAAGTGCCATCCTTACCTGGTCTGGCCAGTATGTGACTCTAGCCCCAAAGCAAAACAATGTGGTTGACTTTTAACTGCCCTCTGGGCAATTAGGGATGGGCAATAAATGCTGCCTAGCCAGTAATGTCCTCATTCCATGAATGAATAAAAGAAAAAAAAATTGACTGGGAAGTTCATCGCATTTAAGTGCAAATGCTGTACGTTGGATCTCAAACAAAGACGAGATGGTACACAGGAAAAAGATTGAGTGCTTAACAGCATGGTGTAAAGACAATCTCTCCATCAAAATCAGCAAAAGGAAGGTGCTAGTTATTGACTTCAGGAAGCAGGGTGGAGGGCACGCCCTTAATGGGGCAGCATGGTGGCTCAGTGGTCAGCACTGCCGCCTCGCAGCACCAGGAACTCGGGTTCGATTCCACCCTCGGGCGACCATCTGTGTGGAGTTTGCACATTCTCCCAGTATCTACATGGGTTTCCACCGGGCGGTCCGGTTTCCTCCCACAGTCCAAAGACGTGCAGGTTAGGTGGATTGGCCATGTTAAATTGCCCATAGTGTTTAGAGTTGTGTAGATTAGGTGGGTTGTAGAGGGATGAGTCTGGGTGGGACGTCTGAGGTTCGGTGTGCGTTTGTTGGGCCGAAGGGCCTGTTTCCACACTGTAGGGATTCTATGATTAACTGCATCAATAGCACTGAGGTGGAGATGATAGAGAACACCAAATTTCTGGGAGTGACAATCTCCAACAATTTATCCATCCACATCAAAGCGACAATCAAGAAAGTATATCAATTCCTCTGCTTCCTCAGGAGGCTAAGGAAATTCAGCATAGCAAGAAAGACACTTACCAATTTTTATAGATGCACCGTAGAAAGCATCCAATCTGGACACATTACAGCATGGTATAGCAACTGCTCTTCCCAAGACCAAAAGAAACAACAGAGAGTTGTGAAAACAGCCCAGTCAATCAGGCACTCACCCTCCCATCCATTAACTCCACCTACACTTGCCACTGCATCAGGAAAGCAACCAACATAATCAAAGCTCCCTCTCACCCTGCTTAAACTCTCTTCCACCTTCTTCCGTTATGCAGAAGATATAGAAGTTTGTATACACATATGAACAGATAAGAACAGCTTCTTCCCCGCTGTTATCAGACTTTTGAATGGACCTCTTTAGCATTAATGTTGATCTCTCTCTGCACCTTCTCGGTAGCTGTAACATTGTATCCTGAATCTGTACTGTACAAGTTGATCAGGATAACAGAACAATCTGCCCGTAAGGCAACACTTTGCACTGTACCTCGGTATACATGACAGTAAATCAAAAAATCAAATCAATCCTTTACACAACCGTTCCAACACCCAGATACGTTCCAGCAGGGAAAGTCACAGGACCAGAACGTGTTTGGAGAACTTTGATCTTTCCCACTCCCTAATTCAGGGGAACAGAGGCCAAATGTAGCAGTAATTGGAGATGATAGAAATCAAATTTTTCACGGTGTGGTTCAGATATGCATCTCCCCTTCACAGCTCAGCTTTTGATTGATCTTCATATGTAGTGTAGGCTTTTTAAACCTCTGCTGGGATTGGAAGTAGGCGATCATTGGCTGGTGTACCTGGTCCCCAGTCCCATGCCCATCCCAGGATGGGAGCACAGCAGGAATTAGCTAATTGAGGTGAGCAGGCCTACTAAAGCGGCTTAATTTTCCCAGTTGGTTTCCAGGTCGTGCATGCAGTTCTAGTCACCGCAGTATAGGAAGGATGTGATTACACCGGAGACGGTACAGAGGAGATTCACCAGGATGTTGCTTGGAACGGAGCATTTCACCATTGAAGGAAGGCTGAATAAGCTTGCATTTTCTTCTTTCGAGTAGAGAAGGTTGAGGGCGAACATGACAGAGGTGTATAAGACTGTGAGGGGAATGGAAATGGTGGATAGAAAGCAGCTGTTCCCCTCATTCAGAGAGTCAAAACAAGGGAGCACACTTTTAAAGTGAAAGGAAGGAGGTTTAGAAGGGATCTGAGGAAAACATTTTTCACCCAGAGGGTGGGGGGAGGTCCAGAATGCACTGACCAGGAGAATTGTTAAGGTGGGCAGCCTCAACTTTTAAAAAGTATTTGGATGAATGGCATAACATTCAAGGCTATTGGCCTATTGCTGGAAAGTTAAAATAGAGTAGATAATATTGCATCTTTGGCAGTATGGACTAGATGGGCCAAAAGGCCTCTCCTGGACTGTATGTGTCTATTATTTTAGGTGGCATGGGAGGGTTTAAGCTGCATGAAGGTAACTTCTCAGTGGTAGATCCGAGGGGACTGAAAGGGCAGTGCTCCAGATAGGCTTAGACACTTGCCTCCTCACTGCTGCCATTCAACACTTGCTTGGCACCAGCAGTGCCTACTGGCTGTCTAACAATGACCAACTCTGTTGCCAATCTTCCAGCTTCCATTGTGGCAGCCTCGTGACGAAGGTCACTGATTTCCTTCAAATTGAAAGATAGGGCACCTCCATCATAGCACGCAGCAGCTACTTTGAAGAGAGAAGGTTTCCTACAGGCCCTTCAACTTCAAAAGTCTGATCTTTGTCGTCAACTGGACAGCAAACCTGCGCTGACGATTCGAGAGGAGTCATACCATATACAAAACAGTGTGTGTCTCTCTCTCTCTCTCTCTCTCCATAGATGCTGCCAGACCCACTGAATTTCTCCAGCACTATGTGTTTTTATTTCTGCTCTGGCCATTCATCACCAACCCCCAGAAAAATCATAACAAGAATCCATTCTAACACAGTGGGGACTTCAATTCCCCATTTCAGCCAGTTGACAGGGTTTAGAAACCACAGGAAATTCCAGTCTACATTTAGTTAAGTCGGAGGGGGGAGAAAAAGAAAAAGTGTAGCTTCTACCCCAGGGACCAGGCAAAAATTATCCTCCATATCCTCACCACTGGCTCACACGCATCAGATGCAACATGGAATCGTCTAGACACAGATTGCATGGCCAGCCTTGTCGGTCTTTCCTCTCATCACATCCTCCAGAAGAAAAAAAAATACATGAAAAATAATTAACCAGATATTACTGCCAAAGAACACATTCAGGTGTTGCTGGAGATGTGAAGCAGAAAACAGAGAATGGTGCAAACACATTTCAGGTCAGTTTGCATCTCAGAAGCAAAACTAAAAGATCACGTCTCGGAAGGGGCCATCCAGGAGAATGCTCATGACCAAACGGGTGAAGACTGCCCGAATAAAAAAAAAAGGAACGAGACTGTCGGCCAAAAATATAACCAGGAAAAGCATGTTCCTTCAAAAGTGTTTACTGGCGAGATACCTACATGTTGCAATTAAAAGAAAAACAGCTGAATTCCAGGAATTTTATTTCCTAGCTTGTCTGTTTCTGTTCTGTGGCAAATGAAGTGTAAATGGTCAAAAGTAAATGTTCTCTCAGACACAGGCACCGACCTGATGATAAATAACATTTCAACTTGTGAGTTGGACTCTCCTCTGACCGCCATCACCATCAGCCTTCCATCCCCCACCGCCCTCCCAAAGCTGCTTACTTGTCCGGTTTCCCTGGCAACAGGAGACGGAGACGACACTTGTTTGCTGATTGGATCTCGTCCTCTTTAATCCTGATCAGCCTCTGGAGGGCTCGGATCCAATCCTGGGCAACAATGAGGTTTAGGTTCTGGAGAATGGGACAGAGTAGAGTAAGCCACCTTGGTTGAGACGACTAGGTATTATCACAAAGATCCCATAAAGAAATCTAAACATAAGACATGCAAGTGTTCCCTTTTAAAAGGTCAAAAATCACAGAAGCAGGAAAGGGAGGGAGGGTCACATTTAACAAATCTCCATTTTCACCAAATCACTTTTCTCAGCACTTCATCCACATCAATGAACTTTGTCTGTCATTTGTTTGTGGTTTAGTTGCTCTTCAGGTGAAGAGATTTTCCTTCAAGTTATAATCCTATCGATCCCCCACCCCCAACAGAAGGCTCACTATTCAGATTTTGCTTTTGTGAACAACTGCTTAGATCTAATCCACCTAGGCTGGACACCATGGGACAATTTAGCATGGCCAACCTACCTAACCTGGACATCTTTGCATGATGGGAGGAAACTGGCACACCCAAAGGAAACCCATGCAGATGCGGGGAGAGTGTGCAAACTCCACACAGACAGTCGCCCGAGGGTGGAATTGAACCTGGGTCCCTGGCGCTGAGGCAGCAGTGCTAACCACTGAGCCACTGTGCCATATTAAGAGAGAATCTGCAATATTGCGCTGTGTTACCTGTGGAACATGAGAAAGGACTGTTACTTTTTCTTGAAACCATTATTTCAAATTAGATCATTGTTATTGCTATGGTCATGCAGGGGCAAAAAATGCCATGTGTATTGCAATGTGCTCAATAAGTGCTGGATGGAGAGATCAATTCAGGATGGGAGGGAGAAGATGTTAAGACAACAGTTATTCAGGAGATGGGTGTCAAACCAGTGGTGCTCTGATCCCTGAATCGTCGGAAATGATGGTAATCCTCACATCCTTTCATCTCTAAGGCAATGTGAGCTTCCTTCCTAGAAACATCCAAATCGGGCATTTTTAAAAAAAAAAACACATGACAGAATTGCACAGGACCCACCATGAGCTGGAGCAAATTGCTTCAGCATCTCCTGCCTGTCAATACAGTAAAAGTGCCACTTTAAGACTAAAAGGGTCCTCAATGATCATCCTTTAAGTACGCCTTTGCTGTTGTTATTTGGGCAAGTCTTAGGTCATCATCCATGTCGAGGGGTTGACCTCGTCACCCACAAACCATCAACAAATATTATCTTTGTAGAGAAGCCAAACTTTCTGGGATAGATGCACTGTGACACCTTCCAGTATCTCTTCCTCCGAGAGGCGACACGCATCCATCACTCACTGTCTCAAACAATCCTTACGATAAGATAGAAGGAGCCCTTCTGGTTGAGACAGACATCAGAGCGGAAATTTTTTTAAAAATGGCCACTGCTGCTTTTTTCCCAACCACTACAAAAAGATGCCCTGATCTTACACAGAAAAGAAAGCCAAAAGTGGTTTGGAAATTCAGAGTTGATGTTGTTGTTGGATGTTCAAGAGTTCAAGGGTCATACCTGGTAAGTGCCATGAAGTGTGCTAATGAGCTGCGATATCTGGTTCACAACAATAAGATCTTGTTGCAATTCCTGAAGCTCTTGGTAAAGCCGTGGAGGACCCATATAAATCTTGCCTGTGGAAGAAAAGCAAAATGAAATCAAGAGTGGAGTGTCCAGCAGTTTATGGAAAGCCTACACGAATGTCAGAACTCAAGTGCATCAACAAGTGAGGGTCTGTCCACACTATGCAATCTCACATACAATAGCCCATTCCTGAAGATATTAGTTCTGGATCACCTGCTGCGCTTAGGCTCCTTAACTAAATTTCCATTCTCCAGGGCAAATTTAACAAACTGTTGAAAATTTGGCCAATTTGGAAGGTGGATGGCTTCCATATTGGAATCTGTTGCGGTGGCATTTTTTTTTTTTTTAAATTTGTTCACAGCTATGTTTGTTCTAATTGCCCTAGAAAAAGGGGGTTTCTGAGCCGTCAACCTGAACCACTGCAGTTCTGGGGAATGTAGGAACATCCACAGTACTGCTGGGAAGGAGGTTGCAGGATTATGACGCAGCAACATTGAAGAAATGGTAATATAGTCAGGACGGTGTGTGGCTCGAAGGGGAAACTTGCAGTTGGTGGTGTTTTCATGTGTCTGCTGCCCTTGTCCTTCTTGGTGGTAGTGGTTATGGGTTGGAAGGCGCTATCTTAGGGCGTTTTGGGGAGTTCTGCAGTGCACCCTGCTGCTACTATGCATTGAAGGGAGTGAACTTTTTTCTTTATTCATTCACGGGATGAGGGCATCGCTGGCTCAGCAGCATTTAATACCCATCCCTAATTGCCCAGAGGGCAGTTAAGAGTCAACCACATTGCTATGGGTCTGGAGTCACATGCAGGCCAGACCAGGTAAGGATGGCAGTTTCCTTCCCTAAATGATATTAATGAACTAGATGGGTTTTTCCGACAATTGACAGTGGATTCACGGTCATTGTTAGTTTATTAATTCCAGATACTTATTGAATTCAAATTCCACCATCTGCCATGGCAGGATTCAAACCTGGGTCCCCAGAACATTGTCTGGGTCTCTGGATTAACAGTCCAGCAATAATACCACTCTGCCATCGCCTCCCAGAAGATTGAAGATTCTGGATGGGACACCAATCAAGTGGGTTGCTTTATCCTGGATGGTGTTGCGCTTCTTGACTGTTGCCATCCAGGCAAGTGGGGAGTACTCCATCACACTCCTGCTTGTGCCTTGTAGATGATGGACAGGCTTGAGGGAGCCTGATTGTTTCCTCAGAGCCCCAAAATTTTCTGGACTTCAAGTATTATCCAATTACCCTTCAAAAATTCTTGCTGAATCTCCATCCACCACCCCATGAGAGGCATTGCATTCCAGATCATTAAAAAAAAAAATCACTATTGACTGTTATTCTCTTGGCCAGTTTTTTTTTTGTAACCATGCAGTCACTTTTCCATTAATCTCACAGGCTTCAATTTTTTCAAGATGTCTATTGGGGGGAAATTTTGAATTTGGTAGATCTACAGCAAACCCAAAAACTTACTTGATAGAGAGGTCGAGGAGGTCTTTTTGCTCCCTGGATGCTGAAAGATAATTGTATCTTTGTTGTATCCTTTCCCCTCTAGGCCGACCTCCACTACCTGAACCTGCAGCAGTGGGGTGCTCCATTTCACAGTGTACTTCGGGCCGACAGGAACCAGGCTGCCAATGTCTGGCTGACTCCTAGAACAGAGGTTATGGAACAGGAATTAAATACTATTGCACAATCTTGTACTATTACCTAACCAGAAGTTAAACCTGGATAAATTCCAGCGTTGTTGTGCAGTAGAGTAAAAGAGGAGGAACACGGAATGCCAACTCCCAAATTGTCAGAAAAAGACAAATGGTGGGAAGCTATTTACCCATCAAGAACATCACACAGCCAAGACCAATTCAATATCCATTTGTCTTCACTTTCCAGCAGGGTTCACTGGGCTGTTCTGGACAACGGGGACAAGAATTAGTTAGTTCTTTTCCTCAGTTGAATTCAGGAACAATGGGATTGACTGTAAGAGTGGTAACATCCCTGCATCAGATATCAGACACCTCAGCACAGATTAGATTGCATCAATGACCTTCCAGCCTTGATGTGCAAATGCATCAATGACCTTCCAGCCTTGGTGTGCAAATGCATCAATGCACTGAGCCCAGTGGAAAAAGCCACGTCTAATACATTTCAACAAAAGCAGTTCAAAGGACGTATATGAAGAAGCATTTACAGCAATTCTGAAGTCTTGCATACATGTACGGAAAAGATACAGGAGAAGAAACGTGAAAGATATTTAAAAATAGTTATGAGTTCATCTCAATTTCAGACTGAGGTTTTGCTCCCTTACGGTACGGTAGTAGACCATTTTCAATGTAAATTCTGGGCTTGTCACGCATGCGTGCAAAGGACCCTTTTTCTGCAATAGCATGTTTCAGATCAGGTGCCACACAGCAAATATTATTTAAAGCTCCCTCTACATAAATCTCAAGTTCAGAAAAGAACATCACTGCTGCACTTTGTGATATTGCCACCCCAAATTACTAATCAGTGTCACATCAGAAACGATTCCCTGCCATGGGTCAACAGTCAGCGTCAATAACTAGGTTGACACTCAGTTCACTTCTATAGTTAACCACTAGAGGGACTTTTCATTCAACAAAATCTGGGCTGGACTTTAAGCTAGTGAGCAGAAGTGACTAAATCCCATGAAAGTGCATGGCACTAACTCACCAAAGGCTCCTTAGACAGTACTTTCTAAACTCACAACAGCTACCCTCTGGATGGACCGGGGCAGCAGATACATGGAAATGGCATCATCCACAAGTTCCCCTCCAAACCACATGCAATCCCAATTTGAAAACATACCACAGATCCTTCATTGTCACTCCTGTAAGAAACTACAGAGAGTTGCAAGCAAAGCCTAGTCCATCACTCAAACCAGCCAACCATTGACTTCTCGCTGCCTCCGGAAGGCAGCCAACATAATCCAAGACTCTTCCTACACTAATTATACTGTCTTCCAACCTCTTCCGTTGGGCAGAAGATACAAAAGCTTAAACACACATACCAAGAGATTCAAGAACAGCTTCTCCCCCGCTGTTTTTTTTCTGAATGAAAGTTCTTCAAATTTTAAATTTAATATTGATCTCGCTCTTTGTGTACCTTCTCTGCAGCCGTGACACGGTATTCCTCACTCTTTGCTCTATTACCCTAATGTACTTTGTATGGTCTTATCTGTCTGAACCGCATGCAAAACAAAAAAACTTTTCACTGTACCTACGTCCAGGTGACAATAATAAATCAAATCAAAATTCAGGGACGCCCTTCCTAAAAGCAGGGTGTTCTTCCTTTCATGGACTGCAACGATTCAAGAAAAAATTCACCACCTGATTCAGGACAATTAGCGAGCAGCAATAAATACTAACCAAGTCAGTGATGCCCACATCCCGTGCATAAATATTTTTTCAAAAAATACATTTACCCACCCTCCATTAGGAGGTCTATACCTAGTTGGCCTCAGGGCATCGTCATTTGTCTAACAATGGAATGTTCGCTGAGCAACTTTACTCACTATTTCTCTCCAGTGAGAGAAATCAAGGAAATTATTTTAAGAGACATGTTTATCTCAGGTCCCTAATGACAACTAAAAAAGTGTAGGATTTACAGTTTCACCTCGTATATAGCAGTAATAGAGCCCATTTTCAAAGATTTGCCATAATGTTAAGATTCTGCCAAGGCATAGGGACCAGGAAGCAAAAGCAACATAGGACAGCCATTTACCAATCGTATTTACATTGTACTATTTCCGAGACAGCAAGAAAAAGGGAGTGGGAATGGTAATTTGTTCGGACATCATCAGATCATAAATTGGACCCAGAAGGAAACGGAGTAGCCAGTTTAACAAGGATTGTATGTGAGGGTGAGTGGGAGGTAACACCAACAGCCTGGACTGGCAGCATTAGATACTTACTTTACATTGATGTTGGCACAGATGAGCAGATCGTTGAGCAGGAACAGACGGCGCTCCTTAGACTTGAGGATCTGCCCCTTCTCTCCATAAACCGTCTCGGTCAGAGTCTCACACAGGATCAGCTGCCGCTGGCCAGAACTTAGCAACTGCAACAGGATCAGAAGACACAGTGAAAAACTGTACGCACAGACAGGCTTTATGGTGGGAGGTTATAAACTAAATTAATAATGTGGATGGGAGCAGGTTACAATATCATTTTCATCAGGGCAGGCATCCAGGTGAAAGCCTTGCCTGTGCAGTGGACAAAGGCAATTTACAATTTAAAAAGGGCAATTTGCCAGGGGTTACGGTCTAAGAATATAGGGTAAGCCATTTAGGACGAGATGTGAAAAAATTTCTCACCCCCGCTCCGTGGAGTGGTGAGCCTATAGAATTCTCTGCCACAGAAAGAGGTCGAAACCAAAACATTGAATATTTTCAAGGGGTTAGATATCGTTCTTAGGGCCATAGGGATCAAAGGGTATGGGGAAAAAAATAGGAACACAGGATTGAGTAGGATAATCAGCCATGATTAGACTGAATAGCAGAAGAGTCTCAAAAAAAGGGCTGAATGGCCTACTCAGGCTCCCACTTTACATGATTCTATGATTTTATACAGCTCTTTCCTATTCTTCGTCCCATTGGCTGATCATGCAGTTGAGCCTTACAGATTTTCAAGTTGCCAGATTTAACACCAACCTCTTTGGAGTGTTAGACAAGTGAAACAGAGAGAATTAAAATCTATCAGCTTCTCATACCTGAGACCAGGATGATAAAGTGCATGTGGGTGAACCCAAAACTGGTTTCAGCAGTCATGCATCCCGTAGTTGAATAGCTACTGAGGTTCACTGCCTGCATTTCTGTTTGATGAATAGCTATTTGGACAATGCATTGGAGAGATTAGCCTGGGGTTGGTGGAACCGAACCCAGATATGTCACTGTACAGTGCATGAAGAATGGCGATTGCCAGCTCATAAATTAACCTGTCGTCAACAAAGCAGGTTGGTTAATTAATTAAAATCACTACACTGTTTAGCAGCCGCTAACACCCAGTAGGATTCAACACTTTTAGAACCAAACGTCATATACGAGTGTACACTTTTCATGGAAGTGTTGGGGGGGAAGCGGGGAGCATGGTGAGAGAGTTACACAGTGACAAATACTCTAATATTCAGAATGCACGAAGAACTGTGCTTAGTTTTTCCATAATACCTGTATATCATACATCATTTCAAAGCAATGCCTTCAAACTTAAGCAGTATTCAACATTTCCCAAACTTCCCTTTCCCCTAGATTTTAATAAAGTCTGTGCCATTTACACAAATGCCATCAAATTTGCTCATTACCCAAGAATCTAACTTTAGCCACATGTAAATAAATCCAATGCAGTCAAATTCAGCATTGTGTGAAGGCATTGTCACATTGTTATATTGTGTGCGCAGGATGTCAATTGCTCACTTATTAAACAATCAAATGTCAATACTGCAAGCTTATATTATTAAAATTGTTTTAATACTGTATTTTATGATGTAGCTGCTGGCCAGCCACTAACACTAGGTAGAGTTCAACCTTCTTTGAGCTTAATTTACATTTAGAAGAGGTATTGCATAATCTTAGAAAGGGCACCACTGTTCTACGCTCAGCAGTTTTCCTTGCACATTATGTTAATTACACCAGTCAAATTGCAGCACATGGCCACGCACAAAATGTCAGTTGGCTCGGAAAAGCTGCATCTCAGCTCATCTCATGGTGCAGTTGGTAAACGTGTTGACGCGCAGCTCAGTTACACAGAGGACGATCTGACACCCAGGACCAATCAGCACCAAGGCAGCTCACCTCTGTCAGCTCGGACAATGAAGCAACCAGCCGTATACTATCCACTGTTTAATATTTGCTGCCTTCTGTCCAAGTGAGCTTCCATTCTCCATGACAGGGATGCCTGCTAATGCCTACACACTGCCAATCTAACAACCTCCCGACGCATTATCAAGTGCCCTCACTTCTGACACAGAACGGCAATTAATTATGTATGAATTCATAGGAGGGCGAACACTGCCAGATTATGGACACCATTGCCAGGCAACTAACTTCTAATTTCATCCAGACTCCACATACACACACAGCAGGGGAATCACTGAATGAGGTATGGAAGTGGAAGTCACAATTTGTTTTCAGGGCACACAGGCGATTTGTTCACACGTACAGGCCGTTTATATTTGTGCACAGTCTGTACAGAGAAATCCTGGCTGATTACTCCCATCCTCTGCCTGAAAAATCACAAGCAGCAAGGCTACTGCCCTGCATGTATCCTAGCTCAAGGTAGACATCAAACTTAGCGTTACCACGATTGGTGTGACACTATACAACACTGGACGGGCAGTGAAATCACAGAACAGCTAATTAGAGGCTTTTAGTGTAAATGGACTCCAGACACAAAAGGCCAGTGTTTTTGCTATAGCCCCATTCAGATGGCCACTGAACGACTCAATCAAGGGGCAAAATGCTGTTCTTGAACTAAATTGCCTGCCTTGTGTAACAAAGTAAAATTTGGCGGTGAATGAAGTGTCTCTAATTTGCGGAATATTGCCAACCCAGATAATCAGCTGATATTCTGTGCTCAGATTCTAAATCGTTCAAATGGAATAAAAGTTCTCTGTGGAGGAACATGCTGCTACTTCCAATATTGCAGCAAATTTTGGCGGGGTGGGTGCGGGGAAACAGGGTGGAAGAGAGAGAGAGAGAGAGACACACAGACAGAACAGAAAAAGAAATAGGCAATCAATCATTCCAGGTACGTGTACATCAGGAATAGTCTGTAATAACAAAAGCAACTGCACAAAATATAATTTTCCAAATTTCTAAACCCTTTACCCTAGTTTCTAACAGCTTTACAACAGACAATCTACACTCTTAGGATCTGCTATTGAGCTCCTCTTCAGAGCTCAGCCAGTTAAAATAACAGACTTCCTATAGACAAAATTTAGAAGGCTAGCCTGAAGGAGGGATGATAAGTGGATAATTAAAAGAAATTGTTTGTAATTTATCCCAAGATCTTCCTTTCTCCTGCTATCTCCCCTTCACATTGCCTCTGTACCAAGAGAGGCTTGCATTTACATTGCTCCTTAATGACCAACGATGTCTGAAGAGCTTTACAGTCTGCAGCAATTTAAATACAAGAGACTGGGATAATTCCAAACAAATAACGTGATCATCCCACAGCCTCAGCTTCAGCTTCAACAGGACCGGCTGTTGGACATACACTGGTCAAGACACCCCGCTACTACTAAAATAATGTTGTGCAATTTTTTTTCAAAAACCCACCTAAAACCCGACAAGGTAAACTGGGAAAATCTGCTACTGGGTAAAACACCTGAAAACCAGTGGAGGATGTTTAACAGAATACAAAACCAGTTTATACCCGAGAGGGAAAGCTCCACTTCACAGATAAAATAGCCACAGACAACTGAAATGATAAGAGATAGTTAAGTGAAAGGGCTTATAGAAATGCAAAATAAAGCACAAATCCTGCTGAATGGGAAAGATGCAAAGACAAGCAAAGGGCCACAAAGCAGCTTATATGTACCTCTAAAAGGAATTGTGAAAGGATTCTTGCTGGGGACACCAAAACCAATAAGACATTTTCTAGTTACATAAAATGAAAAGCAGGTGGTCAGGAGCAATGTTGGCTCAATAAAGATTGTCAATGACTATGGGGAAATGGCAGACAGGTTAATGAATTACTTTGCCTCAGTAATTACAATAGAAAGCAGGACAGCTTGCCAGAAGTCCCGAGGAAACTTACAGTAGATTGAGAACAGGGACTGAATAAAACTAATGCAAGTAAAATGGCAGTAATTAGGAAACTCATGGAATTAAAGAGAGAAATCCCCAGGACCCAATGGTTTCCATTCCAGGGTGTTAAAGGAAATAGAGGAGCACATTGTAGATGCCCTAACTATAATCTTTTACAGCTTCTTAGATAAAGGGGTTATCCTTCTGGAAAGCTGCACGTCACTCCACTTTTCAAAGAACGGCAGAAGAGGAAAACTAGAAAATTACAGACCTGTCAGCCTAACATATGTGATAGGGAAATTGTTAGGAGTCTGTAATCAAGGATGGGTAACTGAAAACCTTAAAAATTCAGTTAATAAGGGAGAGCCAGTTTGGATACATGATGGGTAGGTCACACCTGACAAACCTCACCTAATTTCTTTTGAAGAGGTGACTAAGACAGTGGACAGGGGAATGTCTATTGAAGTTGTTTATATGGACTTCCAGAAGGCATTTGAAAAAAGTTCCACATAAGAAACTGTCAACTAAGCTAGACGCCCACTGAATTGAGGACAATTGTTGGCATGGCTGGGAAACTGGTTGAGTAGCAGGTGACAAATTAGGGATAACGGGTAGGTACTCAAATTGCAGGATGTGACACCTGTGGTGTACCACAAGGATCTGTGTTAGGGCCTCAATTATTCACATTTACAACAAATTGGACAATTGCATAGAAAGTTACATATCAACATGTGTTGACAACACAAAGTTAGGCAGCATTGTAGACAGTGTAGATGACAGCATAAAGTTACAAAGGACATATTGATAGACGAAATGAAAAGGTAAAACCGTGGTAGATGGAGTAAGCAAGTGAGGTCATCCACTTTGGACCAAAAATGATAGTTCAGGGTACATTCAAGGTGGTATGAAGTTAAATACAGCGGATTTTCAAAGAGACTTAGGGGTTTAGATGCACTGATCTTTAAAATGTCACAAACACGGGCATAAGATAATCAAGAAAGCTAATGGAATGCTGGCCTTTGTAATTGGAAGACTAGAGTACAGGGCTGCAGTTATACAAAATCCTGGTTAGAACTCACTTGGAGTATTGTGAGCAGATCTGGACACCACACCTTAGGAGGGATGAATTGGCCTTGAAGGGAGTACAATGCAGGCTTATTAGAATGATACCTAGACATCAGGAATCAAGCCATGAGAGATTTTACAAATTTGTACTTTTTTCTTTAAAATTTAGAAAGTTAAAGTATGATCTGATTGAAACCTTGAAGATATTAAAAGGAAAAGACAGTTTCTCTTTATCTAGCCTATCTCTACAGGTTGGGGATTCTAGAACTAGGGGGCAAGGTGAGAGACTCAGGGCCACATCATTCAGGAGGGATACTAGGAAGCACTTCTATACACAAAGGGGAGGAACAGTTTGGAAATCTAGCACAAATGGCAGTGAATGCTGGTTCACTTGTTAACTTTAAATCTGAGATAGAGAAATACTTGTACAGCAAAGGTATTAAGGGGTATGGGCCAAAAACAGGTACATGAAGTTGGCCACAGATCAGCCATGATCCCATTGAATGGTGGCCTCGGTCTAACATCTCAGGCAAAAATTGCTCTCTCCAATAGTACAGCAAACTTGCAGCAATGCTTTGGTCTAAAATGGTGTTTACTGTGGGTAGGATACTGAAGCTGGGGAACTCAGGCATTTATTAAAAAAAAACAATTACACAACAGGTGATGCTGGAGGTCTTAAAACGTATAAAAGGTTGATAAATCCCCGAGACCTGATCGTGTATATCCCAGAACACTGGTAGATGATTGTGGGGCATCTTGCAGAGATATTTGTATTATCAATAATCACGGGTGAGGTGTTGGAAGACTGAAGGGTGGTTAACGTTGTGCCATTGCTTAAGAAAGGCTGCAAGGAAAAACCAGGGAACTACAGACCAGTGAGTCTGACATCAGTGGTGGGTAAGGTGTTGGAGGAGATTCCGAGAGATAGGATCAACATACATTTGGAAAGGTAAGCACTGATTCGAGATAGTCAGGATGGCTTTGTGTATGGGAAATTATGTCTCACAAATTTGATTCAGCTTTTTGAAAAGGCTACCAAGAAGATAGATGAAGGCAGACTGGTAGATGTTGTCTACATGGACTTTAGCAAGGCCTTCAACAGGGTCTCTCATGGTAAACTGGTTAGTATGGTTAGATTACATGAGATCAGGGAGAGATAGCCAATTGGAAACAAACTTGGTTTGATGGTAGAAGACAGAGGGTGGTAATAGAAGGTTGTTATTCTGACTGGAGGCCTATGACCAGCTGTGTTTCGCAAGGATTGGTTCAGAGCCCACTGTTGTTTGTCATTTATATAAATGATTTGGATGAGAATATAGGAGGCATGGTTAGTAAGTCTGTGGACAGTGAAAAAGGTTTTCTAAGATTATATAGAGATCTTGATCTGATGGACCAATAGGCCAAGAAGTGGCAGATGGAGTTTAATTTAGATAACAGCTGGAAGCTGTTTGCATTGACTCAGGACCTCAGAATTCAAGCAAGATACAATCCCATGTGCCTGTAATACAACAAATCATTCAAGGATTCCATTAAAACATGTACTCATCATTGAGATGGTTACAGTACTGGCAAATTACAACTCTCATTTTCTTTCTAATTTATCCCTTACCGATGTCTGTCATTATGTGAAAGTGGGGATTATAATCAAAGAAGATTGGGCTCAAATAATTGACATTAACTATATTATCTTTTATATTTACTGAAATTATGGTATTAATAAATTGTTAACTTCTGTTTTAAGTTGTAAATTTGGTGTCAGATATCTGCTATTCTTAAAGTGTGATTACGAGCAATTTTTAGGGCCATCAAACGTTTTAATTTCACTATGTTGCAAATCTAGTGTTAGCGACTGTCACTTTGTCTAGTTTGCAAATATTTTCATAACAGTGTAGACCTGGAGGACTGTCCACAATTTGTTTCACTATTAACATGGATTGTGTGGTAGAGACGCGACTGACCGATGGTTACATGAGTTTACATAAAGCCAGTTAGGTCACCAATGTTTCTGACCTTGTTGAGGTTGCGGTCTCCAGCACTCTTCGCCAGCTGCTGAATTTCTGCAATCTGATCCACCACCCGCTTCTGCTCATTGAGCTTCTCGGCCAGTGTTTCCAGCTCCGTCAGGGCAAGCTGCAAAGAAAGCCGGTCAGGATGGCCTTTTGGTGTATTCTTCAGCATGTCCTGGGACCAGCGGCATGGGCAGTCAGAATTAGAGTAGGCAAGAATACAACCATTAGCGTCCAAAAGTTAAAAGGCAGGTGAATGATTCAGATATATCTGTTCAACAGAACCTTGGTGAGGAATTACAGGAGAAATCAAGTCAAAAATCAAATGTAGAACAAAGGAATGGAAATGAGATTTCACAATTTCTTAAATGTTTAACGTCCGTGCACTCTCCAAGGGGAGGCAACGGCTTAATGGTATTTTTGCTGAACTGTTAATCCAAGAGACCCAGATAATGTTCTGGAGACCCAGGTTTGAATCCTGCCATGGCAGATGTTGGAATTTGAATTCAATATCTTTTTAAAAAATCTGGAATTGAGTCTAATGATCACCACAAAACTTTTTTTTTGGAAAAAACATCTGGCTCACTAACGCCCTTTAGGGAAGAAAACTGCCATCCAGACCCATAGTAATGTGGTTGACTCTTAACTGCCCTCTCGGATGGGCAATAAATACTGATCTAGCCAGCGACACCCTCCTCCCAAGAATGAATTTTAAAAACCCAGCTTTGTCGTGCTCATCCACCGGAAATAATGGCCCAAGGAACTATAATTATAGTCATAGAATCATCAAGACACTGGACTTCAAATTCATTGCATTTCATTTTCCCTGTAAAATATATCAATTCCTTTGGGTTCATATATGTAAACCTAGACTTGATGGGTTTTAAGTAGGTGGTAGATGGTAAGCCTCATTCTGTCTACATTTGAAGGTAACTACCCATAGTGCATCACCGTGCAATGGTGTTGAACCTAAAACCTTGTTTCTCGCTAATCTTGGATAGTTCTGGCCATCAGGAGCAAGAAGTCCAATTTTTCTCACTCTTGGTCGCCACTAACATCCCAAAGCTACAGCCATTGGTGAGTTCAAACTAACTCAGTGCAGACCAGAGATTCAGCTGCACACCCATGGAACAAGGCTGTGCAGGCCATGAATTTACACATTTAAACAGGACAGAGTTTTTTCACTATTTTAACCGAATTGATTAGAACGGAGGAGGAGATAGTCACAGTCGGGTTTAATTTGCCCTCACCTGAAGTAACAGAATAAACTGTGGGAATCGTTGGATTGGCTTCACCATCAACCCATAGAGTGTTATCCGGTCAGAGTTAGAGGCTTGCTTCCGCTGTGAAAGATCAGACAAACTCAGTAAGTCACCCGTTTGCCCACTTCCATTACGTATACCATTTGCCAAAATGTGTTCTCAACATATAGCACAAGTTTCCTGTTGGATCTTCTGCACTTCCAAAAGGCTACTTTACATATTAGCACTGGAAGGAAACATTGTGTAACATCAATATCGTGCTATATGTTCGAAGTTCCGAGGGCCATAATTGCAATCCCTGCCCAAAAACCAATTCTCCAAGATAGGAAGACAAAGGAAACGGAATCATATTTTCCACCTGGACTCTGCAGTTACGTGCAAGAGTAGCAAAGGGAAATAAACCAGAAGAACACAAGTTTTATTTTAGGAAAGCCACTTTCATTTCTGATACACAAAGGAATGCACAGGACCAGGAGATAATGCAGTCCACCTGACTTACCCTCTCAGTTTTAACAGCACATCTGAAGAGAGCCACAATACAATTAATTGCTTCTGTAAAAACGAACAGAATGCAACTGGAGCAGCTGAATTAGATATCACATTCTTTGGAAGATTAATATAGGACATGAAATGTTTAACAACTCGGCATTAATTCATTTAAATGAGCAATGGAACACTTGCACTTTCCAAACCAGCTGCTTTCTGTTACAATGAGACACAAAAGATTGGACTTGCTGCCCCCTAGTGGAATCAATTCCAAGGATTCCTCACCGATAGTATTTTAAATGGTACATTTGAACGTTTTAACAGAAACCTCACAGCATGTCAAAAAACCACAAATGGGGACATTTAATTTTTATAAAAGGAAGACAGTCACAACTCCTTTCCTTTCCAAAACAAAATAAATCAGAGATAGTAGGAACTGCAGATGCTGGAGAATCTGAGATAACAAGGTGTAGAGCTGGATGAACACAGCAGGCCAAGCAGCATCAGAGGAGCAGGAAAGCTGACGTTTCGGGCCTAGACCCTTCTTCAGAAAATCTTCAGAAGGGTCTAGGCCCGAAATGTCAGCTTTCCTGCTCGGCCTGCTGTGTTCATCCAGCTCTACACCTTGTTATCTCAAAACAAAATAAATTCTGCTTGTTTGTATCTGGTATGGCACCAAGCCACAGGGAACAGGTTTGAAGGACCATCTGTGATGAAGAAGCTGAACCTAGCCAAGTTTTAGCAAGAAGAGGTACAATAGATGGCTTCAATGGCCTTGAGACTAGATGGTGAGATGCTAGTGTTAAGTTAGTTGTATTGTTTAGGTGAAAGATCGACAGTGGAGGATATTAATTAGATATCTCGAGCACATATAAAAAGGGCCTGTGCATCAGAAATTATATTTTCAGCCAATTAGATATGTTTGCATCATAATGTTTGGCTTGGGTTCCCCTTTAAGGGGTTGTCAGTTTGTTAATTTAGTTAATGGTCTGTTTAGTTCTACACAAGAAGTGATAAAATGGATCCCTCCTCATTAGCCTGGCCACAGAATCTACTGACAGGTACAAGCAGTGGATGGTTGAGGGAGTGGCCATTCAGCCTCAGTGCCTGTCCCACTGCCATGGCTACATTTGAGTCCAGGTGTGCTAGGAAAGGAAGCAGGCGATTTCCACTGGCATTGCTTGAAGTTTCTGCGACCAGTGGGCACCGAGGGTCTGGAGTCAATTAGCAGCCTTGATAGCATTTCTATTCGGTAAGTGCTCTTTATAGTCTTCAGATTTTGCTACAGCGCCCTTGGCTGTTCCTTACTTAATTTGTCAATTTAACAATCTGCTTATTCATTAGTTTATTTGCTTCTTTAATATAGTTCAAAAGATAATTAAAAAGGGAGCTATCATTCCATGGCAGTCTAGTCATTCGGATTCCTCACTACCGTAGATTGGGTTCAATTCCGGGTTGAGGAAGCATAACCTACAGAAACAGACAAACTTGCCATTTTTACTGTAAGATCTCATCTGAAAATGCAGATTAATTGTTCTAAGTTATAAGTTATAATTAATTGATTCGTTTGGGATCAAATGAAATGAGTGATGGAAGATTAAGCAAGCTGAGAGAACAACATAATGTATCTGACAGCAATCACATTGTATCCATGTACCAGTATGCAATCATGACCTTTCGGGCATTAGAAATCAGAGAATCCCTACAGTGTGGAAGCAGGCTATTCGGCCCATCGAGTCCATAACAACCCTCCAAAGAGCATCCCTATCCTATCCCTGTAACCCTGCATTTCTCATGGCTAATCCTCCCAGCCTGCACAGTATGGGCAATTTAGCATGGCCAATCTACCTAACTTGATCATCTTCAGACTGTGGGAGGAAACCCACACAGACATGGGCAGAATGTGCAAACTCCACACAGACAGTTGCCCAAGGGTGGAATTGAACCGGGACCCTAGCACTGTGAGGCAGTAGTGTTAACCACTGAGCCACCATGCCACCCAAATCATTACATCTGTTCTATTAAAACTGAACCAATATAGAAAAGGATTGCTGAGATACTACTGGTGTGCATTAGGAGGTAGAGATATGAAATGCAGCATTCTCTGCATTGACCTATCAAGAAAAGGATGTGAGTGCAGTTCGATACTTCATCATCCATCTCGAATTTGTTTAACAGGAATTTGGAGGGGACAGCAAACATTAAACAGCTAGCCTCAGTTCATGCTCAAGATCAGTATCAGATGATCCCTTTGAGTATCTTTGTATGGCTCCCAAGAAAATTCATTTTTTTAAGTGAGAAAATATTGGGTTTTTTTTCATGTGTTTTCACATTTTTGACAGTCATTATACTCATGAGGAGTTGAACAAAACTACTTGCAAATTGGCTGAAAAGTACACAGGCAAAATGATCAACTACAGGGAAAGGAAGTCCCCCTTGTAGCTGAACTCACCTTCAGGAATTCCAGAAAAGCTGGTTTAGTCAGGCAAGCCTTCTTAATGAGTGCCATAGCATTGGTGAAGTTATTCACATAGTCACTATATACATCAAGCACCATTGACTTTGAGAACTGCAAGCAAACAAGAAAAAAGGTGTAAATTCCACAGAGTTGCAGCTGCAGGTTAGGATGGCAATTTGTAGTCAACATGAATAAAGTGCATTTCTTGTGCTGCTGTAAACCAAACCCTCAATAGTATTATGAACACCCAAGTGGTGCTTTAGGAAAGCATTGGACTCTCTCATCACAGCCAAGCCAGCTCACTTTGGCCCCAGGGAGTACACTGAACATGGGTGGGGATGTAAGAGACCGTAAAGATGCTCTTACTCACCGAAGCCACAAAGAGATCTCCAATTTTCTCCGAGACATCCCACTCAGCTACCCGTGAAGACAGGGCAATCTGAAACATCGAGTGGCACTGAAGAACTTCTTTCAGACGGTAAAAGACCACCCGCAGCTTCCTCATGCTCAACAACTTTGGCTCTGCTTCCAGCAATGGCTTCTTGTACTCCTGAGAGAAAGAGGAGGAAAAGTGTGACTGCTCAGAAACATTAAATTCTTTCAGTTAGGATAATACAGATTCGTCAGGGATTAGATTGTCAGTGTGTGTTCGACGGCTTGTGGTAAAGAAATGGAGCATTGTGGTCCCCAACTTGTGGCACTTATGATCCTTGATTCACAATATGTGACGAATTGCAATCAGAGTGTCATCCTTTCACTTTTGCTTGCTGCCCAGTTATGAAAGTCTGGTCATGTGGTGATAAGTTTGAGACAAGTACATCCTGGTGGCTTCAGAAGTTTATTCATTCAGGCAATGTGGGTATCACTGGCAAGACCAAGATTTATTGCCCATTCCAAATTGCCATGAAGGTGATGCTAAGCTATCTTCTTGCACCTTTGCAAGTCCAAGCTGTGCAGGTACATTTAGAATGTTGCATGATTCCTGAATAAACACAAGATATAATGATACAATAACAGCCCATTCAGCCCAACCTGTCCCGACCTCGGTTACTGCACAAAGCCTTTTACCAGAATTGCCACACGACCCTCACAAACATTGTTTGACAAAAGGTCTGTCTCTGAACAAAGTCATGTCGCTTCGTTTTGGTCTTTGTCCGTTAACGACATGGAATTTAAGCATGGCATATTAGAGAATTCCAAAATCTTACCTGCAATATCCGCTTTAAAGACTCAACATAACTCCGCTCGCTTTGCACAATAGAGCTCAAAATATGCCTTCGCACAATCTGTAAGGAAAGATGGACATACCACAAACCAATTTACAGTCAATGAAGGATCTTCCAAGAACCGTAAGTATCACACTACAATCGCCACACCAAGAAATTATGAGTGGTAAGGAGGAACTATGATAGAGGAATAGTGTAGCTGGTGGCAAAATCATAAAGTCAAAAAAAAAAGGAGGTAGAGAGAGAGAAACAGAACTCTGGCTTGACATCAGTTAACAGAGAAAACTAATGCAATCTATAATATCTATCGCATCTTAATGTGCTTAAAAAAAAACATTGTATGGTTGGCCAGCATCAGCATAGTTTATAAAAAGGGATATAGTGATCAACAGACACTTAAAATTTGAGTTTTTGAATATATGGTAGTAGAGTAGGTGAAGGGGAAATTAGTAGATGTAATCCATCAAGTTCCAAACAGCATTTGATGAAGTGCTACACAAAAGCATGACAGGCAAAACCAGGGTTCATGGAGTTAGAGGTAATATACCAGAATAGATACAGGACTGGTTAAAGGACAGGGAACAAAGAGTAGGCACGATTGGGGCATTTCCAACTTGACAGGTATGACAAGGGGAATGCTGCAAGGATCAGCTCTGGGGCCTCAACAACTTATAAAATCGATACTGACAACTTAGACAGAGAGAGTTATGAATCAGAGTTTCCTGACATTACAAAACTGGGTGGAAATGTAGGCTGGCAGGAGGACCTGAAGGTGGAAACAGACAGATTCAGTACCTGGGCAACAAGGTGTCAGATGGAGTATAATGTAGGGAATGTGTGAGGTTATTCAGTTGGGTCTTAAGAATGGCAGAACGTTCCTTCAAAGGGGATGAAATCCAGAAGTGTTGCTGTTCAGAGAGACTTGGGTACACTCTTAGAAAGAGCAGAGAAAGGTACAGCATGCAGGTACAGCAAGTAAGGGAAATTGCATGTTGGTCTTCATTGCAAAAGGATTGGAGTATAAGAATAAAGACACACTGCTACAATTGTACAGGACCTTGGCACGTTCACGTATGGAAATCTGCATTTTTGGTCTTCGCCTTTAAAAAAGGATATACTTGAGGCAGTACAGGTGAAGGTTCACAGGATGGCTCCCTGGGCTGAGGGGGTTGTCCTATCATGACAGACTTCGTAAATTGGGTCCATATTCTCTAGAGTTTAGAGGCAAAACAGCTGATCTCATTTAAACATTCATGTTTCTGAGGAGGCTTTAGTAAAGCAGATACTGAAGTTGTTCTTGCTGGCTGGAGAATTAAACACAGGGGCACAATCCCCGGATAAGAGGCAATCGTTTTGGACTAAGGAGTAATTTCTTCACTCAAAGGGCTGTGCGCCTTTGGAATCCTAACTTCAGTGGGTTTTGGATGCTGCCTCATTGGATACATCGAAGGCTGGAACAGTTAAGATCTTAGACGCTCAGGAAATCATGGATTACAAGAAGCAGGTGGGAAAGGGAAGCTGAAGCCACAGTTCAGCCATGATCATACTGAATCACACAGCAAGCACGATAGGTTGCATGGTCAATGCCTTTCTCCACTTTCTTGTGCTTTTTTGTCAAGGTTGTACAGATGGCCTATTGCTCAGATGAAACAAATATTGCAACCCTCAAAAGCAGATAAAGGCCCCTCCATCTCTGTAAGGGAACTGATGGTCTAGAGGTATTGTCGTTGGACTGTTATTCCAGAGACCCAGGTAATGTTCTGGAGACTGAGGCTCGAATCCTAGTACGGCAGATGGTGGAATGTGAATTCAACTTTTTAAAAATCTAGAATGAAGAGTCTAATGAAGACCGTGAATCCGTTGCCAATTGTCAGAAAAAACCCACCTGGTTCACTAATGTCCTTTAAGGAAGGAAACTGTCATCCTTACTTGATCTGACCTACATGTGACGCCAGACCCACAGCAATGTGGTTGACTCTGAACTGCCCTCTGGGCAATTAGGGATGGGCAATAAATGCTGCCTAGCCAGCGACGCCCTCATCCCATGAAGGATTTTTTTTTAAAAATCTAAAACCAGAACTACTCTTACCTGTAGTAAGAGTACAGAAAATTATCCCTTATAAATGAGCATCCGGAATCAAACGAATAAGCCACTACAGTGAAGAAAAGTCACTAGTATTGGTTGGATGAAGTCAGAAATGTAGAGAAAGGCCAAATCAATAAAACGATAAGTGACCTCCTTGTAAAGATCAACTCAAGAGCACAATTGTCAGAAAGGTGGGAACAAGTCCCTCACTCGCTCTCTGCCTTATTTTTCCCCAACTGGGAAACTATGTGCCCATCCTCCTCACACAAGCCTGAATGGTGAGGAATTGCTATGCAGCAAACAACAGCAGGAAAGCTCAGATTTTCCACCTTTGTAACCAGGGTCGGCAAGACCAATTGCAAGTTTCCTGATCAGGCAGAGATCAACCAGTTTAATAATCTTGGGACATTCCCACTTTGAATGACGTAGCTGTTGAGCTGTGCAAAAAAAATAAAGAGGTATCAAAGGATGCAGAGTTGAAGTATTCAAGGCTACAGACCTGTTGAGGGGTCAGCCCTGCAGGCATGGGACCGAGCTCTGGTGGAGGATGTTTTGAGTCTGATACCTGAACATCAAGGTATCCAGCATCATCCTCCTCATATTGATCTGGAAGAAGAAAATAAAGATTCAAAACTATGTCAAACACTAGAAGTGACCCAATAATACGCTGCTCTTTCATAAAATGGATGTATTAGGAGATGGAAGATATTAAAGATAAATGGCATTTAACAAGGAACAGAACAAAATGGAAAAAGAAGTCAGAGTTCAAACTGGTGATTAATAGTTCTTCTTCCCTCAACTTTCTCGTTATTCTGTTTTCTTCTTGTTGTTCCATCTCTAATATCTCCCACACTAAAGAGTCTATGTCTGAAATGTGAACTCATCTCTTCTCTCTGTAGATGCTATTCCGATAGAAAATATTGACAACACCCAGCCTATGTACTGAAATTCTCAGTCTCTGTAGTTTATTTGCTTTTTGTTTATAAAGAGATTCGCGAGTTCAGACCAGGCTAGGATGCCACCAGAGTAATGTGCACAATGCTACAGTAGCCTCATCACCTCTGAGCAAGGGATGAAGAACTTTTATTTTAAAAATAAAATCAGCCAAGCTTCCTGTCAGCTGTCATCTCATGAGCTGTTCAGATTCAAGATGGGTAAGGACAGAAACCAGTTGCTAACTTTCATTGGGAAAATTTATACAAAGATGAAGAATGGTTGCTATAGATGAGAACAGCTCTCATTCCTGGAAATAGTCAGTATGATTCAGAAATTAAAGAGAAGGCCAAGAAACAAAAAAAAAAAAAAAAAAAATTATATCCAAAATCATAGTTATCTTGTTTCACTCATGTAAACAGATAGCCTCTGTATAGATCTATGGTCTACGGTAAACTTAGCATTTTTAAAATGACAATTTCTGTCGGCTCTTTGTCAACAACACAGCTCAAAATGCAACTCCGACAGCAAGTGCTTCCCTAAAAGATGGGCTTCTATTTTTGGAACAAGTTAATAAGATTACATAAGGAAGTCACAAATTATAGCTGAGCAGGAAACCCTCACTGCATAGATTAGATCATTTGAATGGGTATTTATACCAAACAGACTTATAAACTAACATTGCAGAAGAGGCTGAACGATGGTATCTGGGTGGGAAAAAATGGTATCAATCTTCTCACAATAGGTCAAATCTTTAGCACCAGCCTGTGTTTTAAAATAGATGCTGGTGGACTGTTCCATTGACACTAGCTGCCTTGCGCAGTTCTCACTCAGACTCTTGTGGAGAGGTGAAGGTGGTCATCAATAATTGGGCTACTTAGGTTATCGTACATCACCAGACAATGTTATAACCTGCTCAATGCTCTTTTCTACCCAGAGCCTGATATAGAAACAGGTGCTTGGCACCACCAGCCAAGACCAATTTCACCCCAAGTGTCGTAAGCTTACTTAGTCGTGAAGAGCATCACAATGAGCTGTATATCCCCTACACTCCAGCTTTTACTCAATTAACCATATATTTTACATGCAAACAGGCTTCATAATATTCAACTGAGCTAACTGGTAGCATAGTGCAGGAAAAACTCTACAATCACTTCCTAGTTAAATGCTGTGACTGGCAACTAAAATTTCTTTCCAGCATACAAAAAGATGGCCGGATGAACACCTTGCAAACACATGAAGTTAGTCAGGTCTAAATGATCTCCGTTATCACTCCCTGGAATTTTGCCTAAAGTCTCCCTCAATAGCAATTAAAAACCTTTCGAATTCTCAAACCCAGACTTCCCAATACTATTTGTGAATGTTGCTCACATCACCATGACTGTATTCTGTTAATTTCACATTGCTCTGAAATCAACCCCCTCTGTGCACATTCCAAATGCTTCCCTGGGGAAAATCTCCAGCTTTCCTAATGTGGTGGGATTGCTGCTGATAATTGTGGTGCCTTTAAACATCAGTAACAGGGCGGTGAAAAGGATTATGAAGGTCATGTTACCAGAGCAGTAGGCAAGTTGGCAGAGAAGACAAATGACAGCCTATGAGGAAACAATCAGCAAAATGTCAAGAGGAGGAGGAGGAGGTCGGACGATACGTTGATAAGACTGAAAGATCAGACCAAGACAAAAGTAACAGGGGGTGAGTTTATTAGAACAAATGTTCTTTCATATTTTAAACATTTGCTAAAGCATCACGAAAATCCTAACCCATCTTCCCTATTTGACAGGGTGCTAAATTTCCATTAATGGCTAAGTATGGTTCATTTGTAAACACAGTCAGAGGTCCATTGCAGCCTACAGCTTGTATGTGATAACAAAATGTAAAACAACAGAAAAGATACCTTTATAAAGTCTAAGAAGTCACAAGAAAGAAGTGTTGTATTTCCATACAAAGTTCCAAAGTAATGACATCAATTATGATTAAAGAACCCATAACGCAATTCAAACTAATGCCAATACCTTGAGGCTCTCTCTTTTGAAGGAATGACACTTTACGCATTACTGCATTTTTTGTTTTCTCCAATCCATCCTTTGTCCCATTTCTTGCTGCCTTCATTAGCTGCTGCATCTGGGCAATGGAATAACATGACAGTTAAAATGCATGCACAACAGAGCTGGCATCCTAGAGCTACTAGCTTTATACCAGCGATACTAATCAAACTGAGGTTACCAATATCTGGAGGGACCACTCCTCCAGGTAGCTGTTCTTTCAAAATAAAAGCAAACTTCAAGCAGATATCTTTCCAGCAATAAAGTATTTTTTTTTTAGAAAAGATTCACATCAAGGTCCAGAATCCAGAAAAACATTGAGCTTCAAAATGATCACCTGCACAGTTTTCTGTTATTGAAGCTGTTATGTTCCTTGCACCTTCTTTGACTTGTTTCTCTGAAGTTTGACATGCAAGTTCTTAATATGTTCTTCACTCATCGTTAGAAATCAAATAGTTTACACCATTGATTGATTAACTTCAGTAAGTTATGGAATTCGAGCAATCACTCCCGTGAGCCCATAAGACATGGGAGGAGGACATAGGTAATTTGGGCCGTCAAATCTGTTTTGATATTCAATAAGATCACGGCTTTAACTCCACTTTTCCTGCCTACCCCAACCTTGAACATCAAAAACCTCTCCACAAAGCCTTGAATATATTCAATAACTCAGCCTCGAGCTTTCTGGGGTAGAGAAATCCCAGAGAAGAAATTCCTCCTAAGGTTGTCATAAAAGCCTTTGTTTTTATTCTTAGTTCTGGAACACCCTATCCACTGCCAGATCTAGCCTGTGAAACTCTCTCAAGATCCTATATGTTAAAGAAAAACTTCTTTGAAACTTCAATGTGGAAAAGGTCCATCCTGCTAAACCTTGCCTTATAACCTCTTCACTGGAATCAGCTTAGAGAACCTTTTCTAAACTGTTTCCAATGCAAGTCTAACTCTACTTGAGGCTGGAGACCAAAACTGAACATCGCATTCTAGGTCGAGTCTTGCCGATGTTCATTTTCACTTCAAAAAGGTGTTTCTGCAATGTGGAAGCTTAAAGAATGAAAGCAGTGTTGTGAGGCATCAGACAGTGCACTTTTTTAAAAAAAATGTAGTATCTGATAAAGTATTTTGTGTAACGTAAATGAATTTGTTTACAATCCTGGATTTTTCAAGATTGGCAAAGTGAGGAATAGTAGGGTTGGGAAGTGGAACATTGCTCACTTGAGGAGCCCAGTATTAGCTCAAGCACTTGCAGGGTAAGAATTGAAGAGACAGATAGAGACTAAAGCTTTCTGTCTGTGCTTAATCCTAACAATACATCTCGTCTCCAACCTCAGAAAATTACACTGTTGCAATGGTGTCTGATCTCAATCCTGCCATCCTGTGACTTCACTGAGATTGGGGTCACTTCCTACGTCTGGCCATGCCCTTAAAATTTGGGTAGACTCAACCCACTTTCTGTCTTTTAACGCAATATAAAAATTTTACTCCCTGGTGGTATTAGTGCCACTGGAGTTCTCTAATCTGAGGAGAAGGAGAAAGGTACCTTGCAGTCATATCGCTGTTTCAGCTGCTGTACGTCTCTGCCCCTGACTTTCATGGCCAGGAATTCTCTCTTAGTCCTGGTGTACTTTTCCTTCAGTCTACTGAGATCCGGGGAAAGCTGAGCAGCAACCAGGAAAAGAGGGACAAGCACAAGAAAGAGAGATAAAGATGGGTGGCGGAGGAATAGAAGTGCATGAGAGTTAGTGACGTAGCCTGAAAAGATACTATGCCCGTTAACATTTAATGAAAAGTCCATTACTGCCACTAGAAAAAGATACAAGCACTGCAGACAAGAAATGAGGTTAATGTTGGAGGTCAGGTGCTAATCCTATGGGCTTTACAATTTCACAAAAGATTAATAAAGGTCTCCTTTGAGCATACCAACATCTGCAGCAAGAACGGATATCTTCACATTGGCAGCATTTAGTGCAAGAGTAGGAATAAGCACAGTCGAAGCAAGCAGTGTGCCCTATTCAGCAAAACCAGATACCCAGTGATATCAAGAGGAAGCAGTTCCAAGTCCAAATGTCAAAAGATACAAACATGTTACCCAAGCAAAATAAAATACACCATACATAAACAAATGGTATTTTAATGACTAGATTCAACCATTTCTGGTCCAAACTTGTACACTGGCAACTACATTACTAACTTCTTAGAAAACCATGCAAGTCAGAACCTCAAACTATTTTTTTAGATTTGTTCATGCAATGCGGATGGTGCTGTTTATATCATCACCGTCCATCCCTAATTGCCCAGAGACGAAATAAACGTAAACCACGTTACAGAGAGTCTGGAGTCATGTATATAGGCCAGACCAGGTAAGGATACCAGTAAGGACATTAGAGAACCAGATGGGATTTTCCAACAATCGACAGCAGTTACACAGTCATCACGAGACTCTTAATTCCAGATTTTTATTGTATTCAAATTCCACCATTTGCTGTGACAGGATTCAAACCAAGGTCCCCAGAGCTTTACCTGGGTCTCTGGATTAATAGACTAATGAAAATACCACTGGACAATCACCTTCCCTGAGCCACAGGTTCCTACACTGATCTCAATTTGTAGCCAACTGCTTCAGTTTGGCTTAATTAACTTTAGCACCTCGACCTTTCGTGGGTCACAGACTATTTTTTTAAAAAGTACATTTTAAATACAGGTTGTACGCACTAGTCTAGCAGACCACCTCAGAACCTGCAATGATTTCAATTTTCCCTTTAGTGACATCTAATGCAGTGCTTCCTAAACTTTTTCCCCCCCCCAGTGTGACCCAGTTTCAAGATCTGAAAGTTGTTGCAAATCTTCAGTGGGTTATTGGGGGCTGGTGGGAAGTGGTGTGGGAGACCACAGGCCTATTAGAGGAGTATAGCTGTTATAATTTGGTTAGAGTTCCAAGGTGATGTCCATTGCTGTCTCAGAGTGTGGTACTCCAAAATATCAACTCCTTTGGGGTCCCAACACCCGCTTTGGGAAGGTATGATCAAGTGGCTCTGCATAGTCTTTACTCATATCATTTTCTGATATGGTTTTTCCAGTGTGACTATCTTAAATCCTTTTCCTAGTGTCCAAATGGAAAATTATCTATTAGGCATGCAACTTGTACATCAATGTGATGTCTTTGTTCAACCGTGAAATATAAAAGTGTTTGTGCTTTGAACGTATATGAGCTCCTATGGCCTGACAAAGGCCCAGTCCTAAGGTGGGGTTGGGTGGGGTTGGGGGGGCGATGGGGAGTGGTGCGGTTGGTGCTATGTGCATTGTATTGTACAAATATATTTTAATTCTTTACCCTTCTCACCAATGACCTTGTACATTTGGGATATACATTATTGGATTTGAACATTTCCTCCTGAAAATCACTTCCCATTTTAATGTCTCCATGAGATCAAACATATTTCAATGTATTATGGAAAACATCTCACACATCCCCAGAAACTTTGCTGGTTTTTATTCACCCACAGAGAGAGCAAGTGATATAGGAAAATAAATGCAAGTCAATTCATTAAATTTCTTGATTTGACCCCTTGTGCTTCAATAGGAACATTGGAGCACGTCGAGCCTGCTCCACCATTCAATATGATCATAGCTGACCATCCACATCGCTTTTTTTTTTTCCCTCACATTAACCCTATAACCCTTTACTAAATGTCAATCAATCTACTTCAAACATAATGAAAAGGTTGAGCTCCCACAGCCCTCTGTGATAGAGAATTCCAAAGATTCACAACCCTCAAGTAAAAAACTTCTCATCTCAGCTGTAAGTGATTTCCCCCTAATTTGAAGTTGTGCGCCAGGTCCTGGACTCCCCAGTCAGGGGAAACATCTTACCTGCATCTACCCTGTCTTTCCTTTTAAATATTTGTAAATTTCAATGAAATCACCTCTCATTCTTGAAACTCTAGAAAATACAGGCCCAGTTTACCCAAACACACCTCATAAGACTGTCCCACAATCCCATGGACATGTCTTTGCTCTACTCTCTTCCTGAGGTAAGGGGACCAAAACCACACCCGGTACTCCTGGTGTGGCCTAATCAAAGTTATATGTAATTGAAGCCAGATTTCACTATTCCTGTAGGGCTTTTGTGGCACAGCGGCAGCAGCACTACCTTTGAGCCTGGAGACCCGAGTTGAAGTCCCACTTGCACAAGAGCTGCATAATAACATCCCTGAACAGATTGATTAGAAAATGTCTCAACTACTTCTGCAATAAAGGCTAACATTCCATTGGCCTTCCTAATTCTTGCTGCACCTGTATGCTAGCCTTCAATAACTTATTGACAAGGATGTACAAATTCATTCCCACATACACACTTCTACCATTTCGGAAATGCTCTTCTGATCTATTCTTCCACAATAGAAGAAAGCCTCTCAGTTTTCCATATTATATTCTATCAGCCATTCACCAAGTCTGTCAAAATCCAGTTGAAGCATGCATTCCATCTAGTTGAATGTCATTAACAAACTTAGAAACTTTATATTTGGTAGCCACATCCAAACTCAGTTACAATATGTACGGAGAACAACCAAGACCCCGTCCCGACCAAGTACTGATTCCATGCAACCCTATTAAAAATCACATTCTCTTCCTTTGCTATTATGCTTTCCATTTATTGCCACCTTTCAACAACAACCTGCATTTGTTTAATACCTTTAGCATGGGGAAAAATGTCTATAGTGTTTCAAACAAACAACTACACTTCCCAGTCGCGAACCATTTCAACTCCCCCTCCCACTCCTTGGACGACATGTCTATCCTGGGCCTCTTGCATTGCCACAATGATGCCACCCGAAAGCTGCAGGAACAGCATTTCACATTCCGCTTGGGAACCCTGCAGCCCAAGGGTATCAATGTGGACTTCACAAGCTTCAAAATCTCCCCTCCCCCGACCGTATCCCAAAACCAGCCCAGCTCGTCCCCGCCTCCCTAACCATTCCTCCCACCTCAAGCCCCACCCCCATCTCCTACCCACTAACCTCATCCCGCCTCCTTGACCTGTCCGTCCTCCCTGGACCGACCTATCCCCTCCCTAACTCCCCACCTACATTCACCTTTACTGGCTCCAACCCTGCCTCTTTGACCTTGTATGTCTCCTCTCCACCTATCTTCTCCTTTATCCATCTTCTACCTGCCTCCCCCTCTCTCCCTATTTATTTCAGAATCCCCTTCCCCTCCCCCATTTCTGATGAAGGGTCTAGGCCCAAAACGTCAGCCTTTTTGCTGCTTGGCCTGTTGTGTTCATCCAGCTCTGCACCTTGTTGTCTCAGATGTTAAGCTATTTGGTTCTCAACCTAAGATTTCCAGAACATACATTTATAAAAGGAAATACCACATTGATGACTTACTGACTCATCAATCCAAATTTTCAAGAGGTTCATTTGAATTTCTTATATGCCTTTTATTTTGGAAAAATAACCATGGAAAAAGTTAAAACATTAAATTTGAGTTGACAAGACAAATGTTCCAAGCTTAGAACCCATATAACCTGTCCAAAGATCCAACCAGAAAAGCATAAAAATAGAATTTCCTAACAAGTCACACAAATTTAAGTGGTCGTATTCCTTAACCATTCTGGATACTTTGACAAAACTAATCCATTTACTTTGCTTCTTATACTGTTTCCCCCAGACCTTCTGATTAAAAGCTTTAAGTATCCTCACAGCTGGAGCTTTGCTTCCCATTAACAACCTTACATAAAAAGATATTTATATTTTTAAAAATCTGTTCAGATGTGTTATGACAACTTAGAAGTAGGTGGGGCTTGAACCAAGGCCTACTGGCTGAAAGGTGTCCTGTTACGAGTTCTGTCTGAGAATAATCTTGCATGGCTTGGTTGTTGAAAGTTAAAGGGGTTTTTTTTGTTCTGGGAAGAAGATGGAAGATGGAAGATGTTGACATCTATAAACAATGGCAAGTATATTTGTGCCAATTGTGAGACTGGGGGTAATTAGATTAAGAAAAAGAAAGCAGGCCAAAAAGGAGAGGGAAATTATTTTCTTGAAACAAGTCTAAAGTTAAGAGTAACCAAACATAACAGTGCCTTGGGCTGTTAGTCATGTAGAAAGTTACATGAAACTTTTTTTTAAGTTTAAAGTATAGGCTGATTAACACTTGATGCCAGTATTGCTTTTAGTTTGTTTATTACATTAAAAGACTTTAAAATCTGGTCATGTGATCTTTTTAGACAGTCAGGGAAATTCAAAGTCTCTACACAAATCATAACCACTCACCTTTGTACTCAGCCAGTAGCTTCTTTAGCTACTGGAGTTAACAACATTTTGTCCAGCCAACTCTCACATATCCCAACTCACTAAGTCCTTTGGCCTCTGGGGACAATGCATCTTATTCTGGTTTAAATCAGCAATCATAATCCCCAATGCCACTTTGCACTTATACTGCTTTCTTTGTCACAGTTTTCCAACTCAAATGGACTTTGGATACTTAAATTTCCACCATAAAAGTTACATTAATTGGAAAACAACAATTTCCAAGAATCACATCCTTCATTCTAGAAATGTCTTGCACTGAACTTACAAGCTACTAGGTCTGCACCAGCTAAACTACCTTCACCTCCAGTGGCAATGTATTTTAGTTCAACCCAAATTTGCACAGATGGTGCCATATTATATCCGATTTATATTCTGCAAGCTTTCCACATGACCCCATGTCACTTCTCAGGAAGAAAGCTTCACTGAACAACAAACATCCTTACGGCTGTAAACACAATCCTGGGAGCAATATTTGTCTTTCTGGTCTACAAAAATATAATTACACCTGCAAAAGTCAGACTTCACCAATCATTTGGTTGACTATTGCAATTTTTGGTAACATCATTGATCACCATGACCTTCACCTTTGGCTGAAGGACAGCTCTGGATTTTTGCTGTTCCCCTCCAGGTTTATTTTCTTCATCTGAGTGTTCATCATAGCTCTCAAATTCACTGGAACTCCAACCGTCTTCTAGCTGTGCTGGACTGATACAACTTGCTTCCCGATTCACATCATCGTAGATCAATTCTTCCATGGGAACTGCGTGAAATGAAATTACAAAGAAGATTTTCAACTCCACCGATTGACAGACGGAAGATTTGACAATATCAATAAGCTCTTACGGGAATTCGAATGAAAATAATTAAACACCAAGAGTTTATCAGGGACCTTGTAGAATTTCAATCAGCTATATTTTAGTAATTAATTCTGCACACCAAGAGGAACAGCAAGGATATAGATTTGATACAAATATCAACCCCTATTAGTGACTGAGCTTTGAGAGAATAATTGTATGAGCTATTGAAAATGCAAGATAAAGGGAGCACTGTACAAAAACAGGTTTTGTTTGCTCTATGTTGACAGCAATGGTTATTAATATGCATTTAGCATTTCTGTTGAGAGTGGATACAAGTGCCCAAACCTGCTTGGAATACAGACATCTTCAAATGAAAGAGTTCAACATTTTCAGTGTGCAAAGTAATTTAAAAACAGGGAGTGGAACCCAATTCTGGAATTCACATTGCCCTCAATTTTCAGAGGCGCAGGATAAGAATGCAGGTAATGAGCCCATACCCTGCACTCCCAACCTGACCGCTTTGGCATCTGTTAGCTCCTTGCAACTTTCATGTGTTCTAGCCAGCTTCCCCATGACTGGAGTTCACCTCAGAGAAGTCATAAATCAGAGTTGGAATTCAGAAATCTTTTAAAAAAAGCAAACTCAAGAGATCTCATTCATATGTCCCTTTTGTGCCAACTCTACAGCATCACCCCTATCCTCCCTCACAGTCCCTTACAACAGTCACTGGTCCTACACGTACTGTGCGCTAGGTCAATGAGCACGGAAAAGACACAAGTTGAGATAAGGGTATCAGTGGCCATTGAGATAGTGCCAGCATGAACTTTGAGTTGGTATGGAGTCTATAAGGCACCATTGGACATGTGTGAGGGTGGGGGGGAACTGGCAGGTGAGGACCAGAGAGTTTGACAGCCTTTACATCCCACAGAACCAACGATTTCCTTTTAACCAGCCCATCTCAGAAATCGGCAGCATCAGTTGACTCTATCCTGTGCTAGTCCACCCTGCCAAAACGGGTCTGGAAATCAAGCTAAGTATCTTAGTAAGAAAAATCATGACTATTGTTTCCATTTTCACTCCCCTATAAGGCCGAGGCAGACAAGAAATGAAGAAAAATCTGTCAGAATGCTCATCCTGGACTCCATTCCCATTGTGTTTGGTACCACATGAATGGAGATGCCCCATGGAGGAAAGAATTGGCTATGATCTGAACAGCAGTCTTCCAACACAATCTACCTGGGCTGACAAAGGAAATGGCCTGTTGGGTGGTAGAGTGTGGCTAATGACTATGGAATCCTAAGCCAGTGTGAATTTGGAGCTGCAGGAGATGAGGAAAACAAGCCGGCGAAGAAGAACTAGGCAGGTGACAGGTTGGCAGTGAAACGCTCTTACCCTGCTCATGGGCAAACTGATCTTCATTTGTGACATCATCATAGATCACATCATCTTCTACATCTGGTGATTTATGCTGGGCTGAGGCAGACTGGGCTGGAGCAATATAGAGAATAAGTATTTTTTTTAAAGTTAAAATTGGTGAGTAGCATTGTAATACATTCTAAAGCTAGAGCATCCAATCAAACCTTTATTAATTTTTACTTAGCTGCAACAAATTGGGATCTGTGAAACATTCAGGACTCTCCTTCTCAAGAGAAATCCAACATATTAAGAAGACTACCTCACCACACTAGGGGAGATATTTTCTAATCAACATATTCAAAAGATGTCATCTGAAAGGGATAGGTCTCCTCTACACTACCACTACGCCACAAGAGCCCTCAGACACCAGAGAGCCTGTAAGTCACCAGCTCAAACCAAAATTCCAGTTAAGCATCCACTAAAATGATCAAATTGGCATAAATGACACTGGTTGGCTGTAGTCTAAGCTATTATTCTGAGGGGAATTGGAAAAAGAAGGTATTTTGGATTCATTATCCAAATATATGACTGAACAAGATTTGCATGTGAAACAGTAATTTAGCTCAATAAGTTCATGATACACACAAGCCTGTTCAACATTCTTTCACTATCAACATTTATCTCTTACCTCTTGATCTAAATTCCTGATCTGTTTTTTATATGAAGCAGTGTGGGGAATATCAAATAGAGATAAGTAACTGGACATTCTTTCCAAGAAGATGGTACTCTCTAGATTTTGCTTTGACATAATAAACACTGAATACAAGTCACAAAAAGTTTTCATTTTTTTTAAGCATAAATTTGTTTCAGATGGACCAAACATTTGCTTGAGAAAAAAAAATGCCTTACTAATCTATTTTTAGAAACCTGCCCACAAAGATAAAGACAAGGAAGCGAGCAGTTCACTCACAACTAGTATGTGACCCCATAGAGAATAAAAACAGCAGATCCTTACATTTAAAATACTTTGTAAGATCAAAGATACCAAAAAGTACAATGGATAGTTGGCTTGGGAACAACAAATTTCTTTAAAGTCACTTTTTATTCAAATCACATGAAAAGAGAGACTGAGTGGCACAATTAGGCAACTGATTAAATATTTTTCCCCCTCAAGGATTGAAGTCTGAGGGAAAGTAAACCCCCAACTTAAAGCAATAACTTAAAAATGAAAAGCAAAGATTTTTAAAAAAAAACTATGCATGAGAAGGGAAAGCAAGGAGAAGCTATCTATTCTGAGTAGTAAATTTGAGAAGAACCCAAAAGACTAATGGTTATGCCCAAATCAACCTTCTAGGGAAAACACCAGGAATTGATTTTAAAAAGTAATTAAGGAAATAGGTACCACTTCACAAAGAATTAAAAAGAGGAAATTACCAGACATGATACAACAAAGGCACCTCATGCTCACAAACAAGGAAAAGCTTCTTCTTAAAAAAAAATAAATATCACAGGAAGAGGGAAAAATGGATGAAATCTGGAAAGAACTCAGCTGCAATCAGCTTTGAGACAATGAGCACTTTAAGCAAAATAAATCCCAGCTGAAGAGCATCATTTAGCATCAATCTTCAAGTCAGTAGTGGCTAGAATCCAGCCACTTCAATTTGTTTTATGATGTCAGGAGGTAGGATTTCTGCCTTTTTAACAATGATCATTATGTCACTCTAACACATGGACGACAGTTTCCCAATCTTCAGGATTTCTGATAGTGAGGTGAAGTAGTGGCAAAGCAGTTTTTGGGGGATGTGGAAAGTATAGGCAAGTAAAGAAGTGTCAGGAGGTGTTGGGTGAGGCTCTGTGGTGCAGTGGAGAGTGTGTTGGGCTTCTACTGGTTTGTTGACTGGGCTATTCAAAGGTTAGGGGTGGCACAGTAGCTCAGTGGTTAGTACTGCTGCCTCACAGTGCCAGGGACCCGGGTTTGATTCCACCCTCAGGCATCTGTCTATATGGAGTTTGCACATTCTCCCCGTGTCTGTGTGGGTTTCCTCCCATAGTGCAAGGATGTGCAGGTCGGGTGGATTGGCTATGCTAAATTGCCCATTGTGTCTTGGCTGGAAAATGCAGGGATAAGGTCGGTCTGGGTGGGGTGCTCTTTGGAGGTTTGGGATGGGCCAAATGGCCTGTTTCCACACTGTAGGGATTCTATTGTGATGATGATGAAAGGAGGGTGGGTGTGGAAGTGATTCCCACCCAGATTGAAGTGTCCACTGCACAAGATAATGGAGAGAGCAATAAACAAGTAGAACTCAGTCCCAGCCTGAGAGACATCTTACACATGCATTTCAGGCAGAAGTCAAGCAAGTTGTAGCAACACTTTTTTTGTGTTGAATACATTCCAGATGATTTCCAAGTTTAAACATTTGAGCAGGATAGAATGATGTTTGAAAATATATTGGAAGCCCAGGGATGAAAGTCTCCAAAGATGAATGCTTATTAATTATGTCCTTACTAAAACTTTGCTAGTACACTGTTATTAGTGCAACATGTGGATAAAATCCTGTACCCATGGGCTCAAGGTTAATTGGAAAGATCTGTGAGAAAATTGGATAAGGCTTGTGAGTTAATCAGACCCAGAGGAAACCTTATCCTGATTTGTGAGATGAGACCTTTATGAGACTACCCATTAGAAGCATTGCCACTCAAGCTCAGTTCATCATTTTTCTTATTTATTGAGAACATCGGTCAAAGCAAGTCAAGATTAGCCACAAATTAGTCTGTATGTTCACTAATGTCTGTAAAATGAAAACATTCAACAATTTGAACCTGACTTCACCTCACCAAAGCATTAATCAATTTCCTTCTCAAAAAGTTAGTGGATTGGTGTTCTTGTGACTCAGTGGTGGTGTCCCTACCTCTGAGCCAGGAGGCCTGTGTTCAAGCTTCCCTCCTGTTACAGAGGTGTGCAAAATAATTAAAATTTAGAAGGTTACACAGAGGACACGTGGGGGATTATGGCATCTAGTCAACATAAAGTAAACAGCTTTGATTGTTATCTCTCTCCAAACCTGTGCATACCAGCCACTCACTTGTCATACAAGACAGTTAGTGCCCAAAAGGGTTAACTGATGTCATGAGATAAGCTCTGCCTATTAGGATAGAAAGTGCTTTTCCTATTTGTTTGTTTTTAGGGTCTCTCTAAATTTTTGTCCTTAGTGCTAAGTCCATTTGGTTAACAGGAGTGTGTACTTTTAATTGGAGCCTGATGTCTCAAGAAAATATCAAGTAACTCAGATATAATGTAACTGTTAAGTTCTTTGTAACAACCCCATACTGTTTATCAAGACAGGACCACTCTCCTGTCAAGACTTTATATGGGCACCGTTCTCCAATTTGTATCAGGAATTTGATTAATACCAATAAGGAGGATTGGTGGCAGTAAATCTGCAAATCTACCTGAGATATCCTAAATGGTTCTGTAGGAGACAGCTGCACCATTACAGCACTACCTGCCCCTGGTCTGGCCTACATGTGACTCCGGAGCCACTGCAATGTGGTTGACTCTTAACTGCCCTTTGGGCAATTAGGGATGGGCAATGAATGCTGCCTAGCCAGCAACGCCCTCGTCCTGTGAATGAATAAATATCGGCAATGTAAATAATCATAGCCAAACACTTTTCAGGTTCATAGAGTAGTGGGAGTGACCCTACCTCTAGGTCAGATGTTTGGGTTCAACATACCCAAACAGATCAATCTGAATTCGCTTGAACCAATGCGGCACGCTCTACATTGGAGAAACCAAACGCAGACTGGGTGACCGCTTTGCAGAACACCTTCAGTCTGTGCGCACGCATGGCCAGATTGGTCATTTTTAACACAGTGTCCTGCTCGCATGCCCACTTGTCTGGTCTCAGCATGATGGGCTCAATATTGAGTTCAACATCTTCAGATTGTGAACCCACCCCCACTCCTTCCCTTTCTTTTAGCTTTACTTGTTACATTCACTGTCACTATGTCCTCCCTCCTTTCCCCCTTCACTCCAGTGGCACTGTCTGCTCTTTCCAGCCTGGCAATTAGACACACCACTGATGTGTCACGTTCACATTCCAATTAGTCAATCTGCACCAACAACATTCTTTCTCCCCCAGCACTCCACTCCCCGCTATAGCATAAATGCTGCTCCCTCCACACTTCACATCAACTCTGAGGAAGACTCACCTCAACTTGAAACATTAGCTTGCTTTCTCTCCATATATGCTAATGAATCCGCTGGGACTTCCAGCATTTGTTGTTTTCAGGTTGGAAGGAAGAACTGTCCTCCTCTCCATCCACCAGCACCTCCACGTCTCTGTCCACAAATGAGCAGCAAGCTATACTTTCCTCTGGGCTAATGTTCTCAATGATTTCAATCGAGTATTGCAGTGTTAGGTTTCAGTCCTGAAACATTAACTCTGCTTCCTCTTCACAGATGCTGCCAGACCTGCTGAGTTTCTCCAGTGATGTCTGTTTTTGTTTTTATCACATTGTGGGGGCCAGTGCCTGCCTTGCAGCATCTGAAGTAGTTTTAAATATGATGCCAATGGTGCGAACACCAGCAGGTCCCACAGTGTCAGAATAAGGGATTGCCCATTTAAGACAGAGATGGGGCGGCGATGGCCTAATGGTATTATTGCTGGACTATTAATCCAGAGACCCAGGTAGTGTTCTGGGGACCCAGGTTCAAATCCTGCCCCAGCAGATGGTGGAATTTGAATTCAATAAATACTGGAATTAAGAATCTAATGATGACTGTGAATCCATTGCTGATTGTTGGGGAAAAACCCATCTGGTTCACTAATGTCCCTTAGGGAAGGAAACTGTCATCCTTACCTGGTCTAGCCTACATGTGACTCCAGACCCACAGCAATGTGGTTGACTCTCAACTACCCTCTAGGCAATTAGGGATGGGCAATTAATGCTGCCTGGCTAGTGACACCCTCATCCCATGAATGAATTTTAAAAAAATGAGGATAAATTGTTTCCTCTTAGAAGGTAGTGAATCTATAGAATTCTTTACCACAGAGGGCTCTTGAGGCTGGCTCACTGAGTATATTTAAGGCTGAGATTAGCTGTAAACCATGACAGACTGGGCACCGCAA